AGGGGGAAGTCTCATGGTTTTTCTCGAGTTGCGGCGGGAACTGGGGTATGTTCACGAGTTACGGTGGGGATGGCCCTTCAAACACGAGTTTATTCAGTGACGTCAGGACTCCTGTCTAGTAAGGAGGGACACGTAAGTGATCTCTTCGAGGCTTGGCAGGCCACAAGGGACGCTTCTCGAGGAAAGGCAGGGCACACAAGGACCCTTTCAAGTAGCCACAGGGATTTTGGGATTCCTATCAATGTTCAAGAATAGTCAGCCTTCGTCACCTTTTGAAGCAGTGAACTCCGCGTGCCTCTCGAGGTGTCAATGGAATGTGAGGCATTCCGTCATAATGAGGCAGGTACCTAGAGCTTTCTCTAAGGTCTCCACAGGGGATTCAGACATCCCTTCATATTGGGCGATGAAAGACGAGCTGTATTCAAGCCACTGCAAGGAAACCCGGCCTTCATTCATGTTACGGCTTCTCGCTGTATATCCCACTTGGGGCAGGAAACTCGGGGTCCCTCCCACATACCTATTGCTGAGAGAAGCCTCCTCCTGAGGTGCTTCTGGAAAGTTGGCATACGTCTTGAGCCTAAGCCAGGGAATCAGCTCTGAACTCGAGACGATTTGGGGTACATGTTGCATTCTTCGAGTTGCTGTACTGAAGTTGGTGTTCCTCTAGACTTGGGACAGTGTTCTCGGGGCATCTCGGGAGTTGCCTGAAGGAAGTCAAGCCACTGGTCGTTTTTTATGGGGAACGGGGGATGGCTCTGGAGTCAACGCAAGGGAATCGGGCCTCATCTCGAGTTGATTTGGGGCACATGGAGCTGCTTTGCATTTCAGGGGTGACCTCAGTGTCCGTCTAGACTTGTGACAGTGTTCTTGGGGACTGTCTCGAAATCCATTAAGGAATTCGAATCTCCTGACTTGTTTGATGGTGATCACGGAATTGCTCTGCCTGCACTACAGGGGAATCGGGCCTCATCTCGCATCTAGGGGGAAGTCTCATGGTTTTTCTCGAGTTGCGGCGGGGATATGCGGTATGTTCTCGAGTTACGGCGGGGATGGCCTTTCAAAACACATGTTTATTCAGTGATGTCAGGATTCCTGTCTAGTAACGTGGGACACCTCAGGAATCTCTTTGAGGGTTTGCAGGGGACAAGGGACACTTCTCGAAGTGAGGAAGTGCACCAAAGGACCTTTTCCAGTAGCCACAGGGATTTTGGGATTCCTATCAATATTCTAGAGGAGTCAGGCATCGTCACCTTTGGAAGCAGTGAACTCTGCGTGCCTCTCGAGGTGTCAACTTGATGTGAGGCATTCCGTCATAATGAGGCAGGGACCTAGGGCTTTCTCTACGTTCTCCACAGGGGATTCAGACATACTTTCATGTTGGGAGATGAAAGACGAGCCTTATTCAAGCCACTTCAAGGAAACCCTGCCTCCTTTCAAGTTAGGGCTTCTCGCTGTATATCCCACTTGAGGCAGCAAACTCGGGGTCCCTACCACATACCTTTTGCTTAAAGAAGCCTCCCCTTGTGGTGCTTCTGGAAAGTTGGCATACGTCTTGAGACTAAGCCAGGGAATCAGCTCTCATCTCGAGACGATTTGGGGTACATGGAGCATTCCACGAGTTGCTGTGCTGAAGTTGGTGTTCCTCTAGACTTGGGACAGTGTTCTCTGGGCATCTCTGGAGGTGACTGAAGGGAGTCAAGCCACTGGTCGTGTTGAATGGGGAACGGGGGTTAGCTCTGGAGTCAATGCAGTGGAATCGGGCCTCACCTCGAGTTGATTTGTGGCACATGGAGCTACTTTGCGTTGCTGTGGTAACCTCAGGGTCCATCTAGACTTGTGACAGTGTTCTTGGGGACTCTCTGGAAATCCATTAAGGAATTCAAATATCCAGACTTGTTTGATGCGCATCACGGAATTGCTCTGCATGCACTGCAGGGGAATCGAGCCTCATCTCGCATCTATGGGGAAGTCTCATGGTTTTTCTCGAGTTGCGGCGGGGATATGCGGTATGTTCTCGAGTTAGGGCGGGGATGGCCCTTCAAATCACATGTTTATTCAGTGACATCAGGACTCCTGTCTAGTAACGTGGGACAACTCAGGAAGCTCTTCGAGGCTTGGCAGGGCAAAAGGGACGCTTCTCGAGGTGAGGAAGGGCTCCCAAGGACCCTTTCAAGTAGCCACAGGGATTTTTGGATTCCTATCAATATTCAAGAGGAGACAGGCATCATCACCTTTTGAAGCAGTGAACTCTGCGTGCCTCCCGAGGTGTCAACTTGATGTGAGGCATTCCGTCATAATGAGGCAGGGACCTAGGGCTATCTGTAAGGTCTCCGCAGGGTATTCAGACATCCCTTCATGTTGGGAGATGAAAGACGAGCCTGTATTCAAGCCACTGCAAGGAAACCCGGCCTCCTTTCAAGTTAGGGCTTCTCGCTGTATATCCCATTTTAGGCAGCAAACTCGGGGTCCCTACCACATACCTATTGCTTAAAGAAGCCTCCCCTTGAGGTGCTTCTGGAAAGTTGGCATACGTCTTGAGCTTAAGCCAGGGAATCAGCTCTCATCTCGAGACCATTTGGGGTACATGGAGCATTCTTCGAGGTGCTGTGCTGAAGTTGGTGTTCCTCTAGACTTGGGACAGTGTTCTCGGGGCATCTCTGGAGTTGCCTGAAGGAAGTCAAGCCACTGGTCGTGTTTAATGGGGAACCGCGGATGGCTCCGGAGTCAACGCAGGGGAATCGGGCCTCATCTCGAGTTGATTTGGGGCACATGGAGCTGCTTTGCGTTGCAGGGGTGACCTCAGGGTCCGTCTAGACTTGTGACAGTGTTCTTGGGGACTGTCTCGAGATCCATTAAGCAAGTCGAAGCTTCTGACTTGTTGGATGGGGATCACGGAATTGCTCTGCATGCCCTGCAGGGGAATCGGGCCTCATCTCGCATCTAGGGGGAAGTCTCATGGTTTTACTCGAGTTGCGGTGGGGACCTGTGGTACATTATCGAGTTACGGGGGGATGGCCCTTCAAAACACGTGTTTATTCAGTGACGTCAGGACTCCTATCTAGTAACGAGGGACACCTCAGGAATCTCATAAGGCTTGGCAGGCCACAAGGGACACTTTTCGAGGTGAGTCAGGCCACCCAAGAACCCTTTCCAGTAGCCACAGTGTTTTTGGGGATTCCTATCAATATTCAAGAGGAGTCAGACATCGTCACCTTTTGAAGCAGTGAACTCCGCGTGCCTCTCGAGGTGTCAACGGGATGTGAGGCTTTCCGTCAAAATGAGGCAGGGACCTAGGGCTTTCTCTGAGAACTCCTCAGGGGATTCAGACATCCCTTCATGTTGTGAGATGATAGACGAGCCTGTATTCAAGCCACTGCAAGGAAACACGGCCTCATTTCAAGTTAGGGCTTCTCGCTGTATATGCCACTTGAGGCAGCAAACTCGGGGTCCCTCCCACATACATATTGCTGAGAGAAGCCTCCCCTTGAGGTGCTTCTGGAAAGTTGGCATACGTCTTGAGCCTAACCCAGGGAATCAGCTCTCATCTAGAGACGATTTGGGGTACACGAGGGATTCTTCGAGTTGCTGTGCTGAAGTTGGTGTTCCTCTAGACTTGGGACAGTGTTCTCGGGGCATGTCTGGAGGTGCCTGAAGGAAGTCAAGCCACTGTTCGTGTTTAATGGGGAACGGGGAATAGCTCTGGAGTCAACGCAGGGGAATTGGGCCTCATCTCGAGTTGATTTGTGGCACATGGAGCTGCTTTGCGTTGTTGGGGTGACCTCAGGGTCCGTCTAGACTTGTGACAGTGTTCTTCGGGACTCTGTTGAGATCCATTAAGCAAGTTGAATCTCATGACTTGTTTGATGGGGATCACGGAATTGCTCTGCATGCACTGCAGGAGAATCGGACTCCACTCACATCTAAGGGGAAGTCTCATGGTTTTTCTCGAGTTGCGGCGGGGAACTGGGGTATGTTCACGAGTTACGGTGGGGATGGTCCTTCAAACACGAGTTTATTCAGTGACGTCAGGACTCCTGTCTAGTAAGGAGGGACACGTAAGGGATCTCTTCGAGGCTTGGCAGGCCACAAGGGACGCTTCTCGAGGAAAGGCAGGGCACCCAAGGACCCTTTCAAGTAGCCACAGGGATTTTGGGATTCCTATCAATGTTCAAGAATAGTCAGCCTTCGTCACCTTTTGAAGCAGTGAACTCCGCGTGCCTCTCGAGGTGTCAACGGGATGTGAGGCATTCCGTCAAAATGAGGCAGGGACCTAGGGCTTTCTCTAAGGTCTCCACAGGAGATTCAGACATCCCTTCATGTTGTGAGATGAAAGACGAACCTGTATTCAAGCCACTGCAAAAAAATCCAGCCTCCTTTCTAATTAGGGCTTCTCGCTGTTTATTCCACTTGAGGCAGCAAACTCGGGGTCCCTCCCACATACCTATTGCTGAGAGAAGCCTCCACTTGAGGTGCTTCCGGAAAGTTGGCATACGTCTTGAGCCTAAGCCAGGGAATCAGCTTTGATCTCGAGAAGATTTGAGGTACACGGAGCATTCCTCGAGTTGCTGTGCTGAGGTTGGTGTTCCTCTAGACTTGGGACAGTGTTCTCGGGGCATCTCTGGAGTTGCCTAAAGGAAGTCAAGCCACTGGTCTTTTTAATGAGGAACGGGGGAAGGCTCTGGGGTCAACGCAGGGGAATCGGGCCTCATCTCCAGTTGATTTGGGGCACATGGAGCTGCTTTGCGTTGCAGGGGTGACCTCAGGGTAAGTCTACACTTGTGACAGTGTCTTGGGGACTGTCTCGAGATCCATTAAGCAAGTCGAAGCTCCTGAATTGATTGATGGGGATCACGGAATTGCTCTGCGTGCACTGCAGGGGAATCGGGCCTCATCTCACATCTAGGGGGAAGTCTCATGGTTTTTTTCGATTTGCGGCGGGGACCTGCGGTATGTTCTCGAGTTACGGCGGGGATTGCCCTTCAAAACTCGTGTTTATTCAGTGACGTCAGGACTCCTGTCTAGTAACGAGGGACACCTCAGTAATCTCTTCGAGGACTGGCAGGGCACGAGGGATGCTTCTCGAGGTGAGCAGTGCACCCAAGGGCCTTTCCCAGTAGCCACAGAGATTTTGGGATTTCTACCAATATTCACCATGAGTCAGGCTACGTTACCTTTTGAAGCAGTGAACTCCGCGTGCCTCTCGAGGTGTCAACGGAATGTGAGGCATTCCGTCATAATGAGGCAGGTACCTAGGGCTTTCTCTAAGGTCTCCACAGGGGATTCAGACATCCCTTCATATTGGGCGATGAAAGACGAGCTGTATTCAAGCCACTGCAAGGAAACCCGGCCTCCATTCATGTTACGGCTTCTCGCTGTATATCCCACGTGGGGCAGCGAACTCGGGGTCCCTCCCACATACCTATTGCTGAGAGAAGCCTCCTCCTGAGGTGCTTCTGGAAAGTTGGCATACGTCTTGAGCCTAAGCCAGGGAATCAGCTCTGAACTCGAGACGATTTGGGGTGCATGTTGCATTCTTCGAGTTGCTGTGCTGAAGTTGGTGTTCCTCTAGACTTGGGACAGTGTTCTCGAGGCATCTCGGGAGTTGCCTGAAGGAAGTCAAGCCACTGGTCGTTTTTTATGGGGAACGGGGGATGGCTCTGGAGTCAACGCAAGGGAATCGGGCCTCATCTCGAGTTGATTTGGGGCACATGGAGCTGCTTTGCATTTCAGGGGTGACCTCAGTGTCCGTCTAGACTTGTGACAGTGTTCTTGGGGACTGTCTCGAAATCCATTAAGGAATTCGAATCTCCTGACTTGTTTGATGGTGATCACGGAATTGCTCTGCCTGCACTACAGGGGAATCGGGCCTCATCTCGCATCTAGGGGTAAGTCTCATGGTTTTCTCGAGTTGCGGCGGGGATATGCGGTATGTTCTCGAGTTACGGCGGGGATGGCCTTTCAAAACACATGTTTAGTCAGTGATGTCAGGACTCCTGTCTAGTAACGTGGGACACCTCAGGAATCTCTTTGAGGGTTTGCAGGGCACAAGAGACTCTTCTCGAAGTGAGGAAGTGCACCAAAGGACCTTTTCCAGTAGCCACAGGGATTTTGGGATTCCTATCAATATTCTAGAGGAGTCAGGCATCGTCACCTTTGGAAGCAGTGAACTCTGCGTGCCTCTCGAGGTGTCAACTTGATGTGAGGCATTCCATCATAATGAGGCAGGGACCTAGGGCTTTCTCTAAGTTCTCCACAGGGGATTCAGACATACCTTCATGTTGGGAGATGAAAGACGAGCCTTATTCAAGCCACTTCAAGGAAACCCTGCCTCCTTTCAAGTTAGGGCTTCTCGCTGTATATCCCACTTGAGGCAGCAAACTCGGGGTCCCTACCACATACCTTTTGCTTAAAGAAGCCTCCCCTTGAGGTGCTTCTGGAAAGTTGGCATACGTCTTGAGGCTAAGCCAGGGAATCAGCTCTCATCTCGAGACGATTTGGGGTACATGGAGCATTCCACGAGTTGCTGTGCTGAAGATGGTGTTCCTCTAGACTTGGGACAGTGTTCTCGGGGCATCTCTGGAGGTACCTGAAGGGAGTCAAGCCACTGGTCGTGTTGAATGGGGAACGGGGGTTAGCTCTGGAGTCAATGCAGTGGAATCGGGCCTCACCTCGAGTTGATTTGTGGCACATGGAGCTACTTTGCGTTGCTGTGGTAACCTCAGGGTCCATCTAGACTTGTGACAGTGTTCTTGGGGACTCTCTGGAAATCCATTAAGGAATTCGAATATCCAGACTTGTTTGATGCGCATCACGGAATTGCTCTGCATGCACTGCAGGGGAATCGAGCCTCATCTCGCATCTATGGGGAAGTCTCATGGTTTTTCTCGAGTTGCGGCGGGGATATGCGGTATGTTCTCGAGTTAGGGCGGGGATGGCCCTTCAAATCACATGTTTATTCAGTGACATCAGGACTCCTGTCTAGTAACGTGGGACAACTCAGGAAGCTCTTCGAGGCTTGGCAGGGCAAAAGGGACGCTTCTCGAGGTGAGGAAGGGCTCCCAAGGACCCTTTCCAGTAGCCACAGGGATTTTTGGATTCCTATCAATATTCAAGAGGAGACAGGCATCATCACCTTTTGAAGCAGTGAACTCTGCGTGCCTCCCGAGGTGTCAACTTGATGGGAGGCATTCCGTCATAATGAGGCAGGGACCTAGGGCTATCTGTAAGGTCTCCGCAGGGTATTCAGACATCCCTTCATTTTGGGAGATGAAAGACGAGCCTGTATTCAAGCCACTGCAAGGAAACCCGGCCTCCTTTCAAGTTAGGGCTTCTCGCTGTATATCCCATTTTAGGCAGCAAACTCGGGGTCCCTACCACATACCTATTGCTTAAAGAAGCCTCCCCTTGAGGTGCTTCTGGAAAGTTGGCATACGTCTTGAGCTTAAGCCAGGGAATCAGCTCTCATCTCGAGACCATTTGGGGTACATGGAGCATTCTTCGAGATGCTGTGCTGAAGTTGGTGTTCCTCTAGACTTGGGACAGTGTTCTCGGGGCATCTCTGGAGTTGCCTGAAGGAAGTCAAGCCACTGGTCGTGTTTAATGGGGAACCGCGGATGGCTCCGGAGTCAACGCAGGGGAATCGGGCCTCATCTCGAGTTGATTTGGGGCACATGGAGCTGCTTTGCATTGCAGGGGTGACCTCAGGGTCCGTCTAGACTTGTGACAGTGTTCTTGGGGACTGTCTCGAGATCCATTAAGCAAGTCGAAGCTTCTGACTTGTTGGATGGGGATCACGGAATTGCTCTGCATGCCCTGCAGGGGAATCGTGCCTCATCTCGCATCTAGGGGGAAGTCTCATGGTTTTACTCGAGTTGCGGTGGGGACCTGTGGTACATTATCGAGTTACGGGGGGATGGCCCTTCAAAACACGTGTTTATTCAGTGACGTCAGGACTCCTATCTAGTAACGAGGGACACCTCAGGAATCTCATAAGGCTTGGCAGGCCACAAGGGACACTTTTCGAGGTGAGTCAGGCCACCCAAGAACCCTTTCCAGTAGCCACAGTGTTTTTGGGGATTCCTATCAATATTCAAGAGGAGTCAGACATCGTCACCTTTTGAAGCAGTGAACTCCGCGTGCCTCTCGAGGTGTCAACGGGATGTGAGGCTTTCCGTCAAAATGAGGCAGGGACCTAGGGCTTTCTCTGAGAACTCCTCAGGGGATTCAGACATCCCTTCATGTTGTGAGATGATAGACGAGCCTGTATTCAAGCCACTGCAAGGAAACACGGCCTCATTTCAAGTTAGGGCTTCTCGCTGTATATGCCACTTGAGGCAGCAAACTCGGGGTCCCTCCCACATACATATTGCTGAGAGAAGCCTCCCCTTGAGGTGCTTCTGGAAAGTTGGCATACGTCTTGAGCCTAACCCAGGGAATCAGCTCTCATCTCGAGACGATTTGGGGTACACGAGGCATTCTTCGAGTTGCTGTGCTGAAGTTGGTGTTCCTCTAGACTTGGGACAGTGTTCTCGGGGCATGTCTGGAGGTGCCTGAAGGAAGTCAAGCCACTGGTCGTGTTTAATGGGGAACGGGGAATAGCTCTGGAGTCAACGCAGGGGAATTGGGCCTCATCTCGAGTTGATTTGTGGCACATGGAGCTGCTTTGCGTTGTTGGGGTGACCTCAGGGTCCGTCTAGACTTGTGACAGTGTTCTTCGGGACTCTGTTGAGATCCATTAAGCAAGTTGAATCTCATGACTTGTTTGATGGGGATCACGGAATTGCTCTGCCTGCACTGCAGGAGAATCGGACTCCACTCACATCTAGGGGGAAGTCTCATGGTTTTTCTCGAGTTGCGGCGGGGAACTGGGGTATGTTCACGAGTTACGGTGGGGATGGCCCTTCAAACACGAGTTTATTCAGTGACGTCAGGACTCCTGTCTAGTAAGGAGGGACACGTAAGGGATCTCTTCGAGGCTTGGCAGGCCACAAGGGACGCTTCTCGAGGAAAGGCAGGGCACCCAAGGACCCTTTCAAGTAGCCACAGGGATTTTGGGATTCCTATCAATGTTCAAGAATAGTCAGCCTTCGTCACCTTTTGAAGCAGTGAACTCCGCGTGCCTCTCGAGGTGTCAACGGGATGTGAGGCATTCCGTCAAAATGAGGCAGGGACCTAGGGCTTTCTCTAAGGTCTCCACAGGAGATTCAGACATCCCTTCATGTTGTGAGATGAAAGACGAACCTGTATTCAAGCCACTGCAAAAAAATCCAGCCTCCTTTCTAATTAGGGCTTCTCGCTGTTTATTCCACTTGAGGCAGCAAACTCGGGGTCCCTCCCACATACCTATTGCTGAGAGAAGCCTCCACTTGAGGTGCTTCCGGAAAGTTGGCATACGTCTTGAGCCTAAGCCAGGGAATCAGCTTTGATCTCGAGAAGATTTGAGGTACACGGAGCATTCCTCGAGTTGCTGTGCTGAGGTTGGTGTTCCTCTAGACTTGGGACAGTGTTCTCGGGGCATCTCTGGAGTTGCCTAAAGGAAGTCAAGCCACTGGTCTTTTTAATGAGGAACGGGGGAAGGCTCTGGGGTCAACGCAGGGGAATCGGGCCTCATCTCCAGTTGATTTGGGGCACATGGAGCTGCTTTGCGTTGCAGGGGTGACCTCAGGGTAAGTCTACACTTGTGACAGTGTCTTGGGGACTGTCTCGAGATCCATTAAGCAAGTCGAAGCTCCTGAATTGATTGATGGGGATCACGGAATTGCTCTGCGTGCACTGCAGGGGAATCGGGCCTCATCTCACATCTAGGGGGAAGTCTCATGGTTTTTTTCGATTTGCGGCGGGGACCTGCGGTATGTTCTCGAGTTACGGCGGGGATTGCCCTTCAAAACTCGTGTTTATTCAGTGACGTCAGGACTCCTGTCTAGTAACGAGGGACACCTCAGTAATCTCTTCGAGGACTGGCAGGGCACGAGGGATGCTTCTCGAGGTGAGCAGTGCACCCAAGGGCCTTTCCCAGTAGCCACAGAGATTTTGGGATTTCTACCAATATTCACCATGAGTCAGGCTACGTTACCTTTTGAAGCAGTGAACTCCGCGTGCCTCTCGAGGTGTCAACGGAATGTGAGGCATTCCGTCATAATGAGGCAGGTACCTAGGGCTTTCTCTAAGGTCTCCACAGGGGATTCAGACATCCCTTCATATTGGGCGATGAAAGACGAGCTGTATTCAAGCCACTGCAAGGAAACCCGGCCTCCATTCATGTTACGGCTTCTCGCTGTATATCCCACTTGGGGCAGCAAACTCGGGGTCCCTCCCACATACCTATTGCTGAGAGAAGCCTCCTCCTGAGGTGCTTCTGGAAAGTTGGCATACGTCTTGAGCCTAAGCCAGGGAATCAGCTCTGAACTCGAGACGATTTGGGGTGCATGTTGCATTCTTCGAGTTGCTGTGCTGAAGTTGGTGTTCCTCTAGACTTGGGACAGTGTTCTCGGGGCATCTCGGGAGTTGCCTGAAGGAAGTCAAGCCACTGGTCGTTTTTTATGGGGAACGGGGGATGGCTCTGGAGTCAACGCAAGGGAATCGGGCCTCATTTCGAGTTGATTTGGGGCACATGGAGCTGCTTTGCATTTCAGGGGTGACCTCAGTGTCCGTCTAGACTTGTGACAGTGTTCTTGGGGACTGTCTCGAAATCCATTAAGGAATTCGAATCTCCTGACTTGTTTGATGGTGATCACGGAATTTCTCTGCCTGCACTACAGATGAATCGGGCCTCATCTCGCATCTAGGGGGAAGTCTCATGGTTTTTCTCGAGTTGCGGCGGGGATATGCGGTATGTTCTCGAGTTACGGCGGGGATGGCCTTTCAAAACACATGTTTAGTCAGTGATGTCAGGACTCCTGTCTAGTAACGTGGGACACCTCAGGAATCTCTTTGAGGGTTTGCAGGGCACAAGGGACCCTTCTCGAAGTGAGGAAGTGCACCAAAGGACCTTTTCCAGTAGCCACAGGGATTTTGGGATTCCTATCAATATTCTAGAGGAGTCAGGCATCGTCACCTTTGGAAGCAGTGAACTCTGCGTGCCTCTCGAGGTGTCAACTTGATGTGAGGCATTCCGTCATAATGAGGCAGGGACCTAGGGCTTTCTCTAAGTTCTCCGCAGGGGATTCAGACATACCTTCATGTTGGGAGATGAAAGACGAGCCTTATTCAAGCCACTTCAAGGAAACCCTGCCTCCTTTCAAGTTAGGGCTTCTCGCTGTATATCCCACTTGAGGCAGCAAACTCGGGGTCCCTACCACATACCTTTTGCTTAAAGAAGCCTCCCCTTGAGGTGCTTCTGGAAAGTTGGCATACGTCTTGAGGCTAAGCCAGGGAATCAGCTCTCATCTCGAGACGATTTGGGGTACATGGAGCATTCCACGAGTTGCTGTGCTGAAGATGGTGTTCCTCTAGACTTGGGACAGTGTTCTCGGGGCATCTCTGGAGGTGCCTGAAGGGAGTCAAGCCACTGGTCGTGTTGAATGGGGAACGGGGGTTAGCTCTGGAGTCAATGCAGTGGAATCGGGCCTCACCTCGAGTTGATTTGTGGCACATGGAGCTACTTTGCGTTGCTGTGGTAACCTCAGGGTCCATCTAGACTTGTGACAGTGTTCTTGGGGACTCTCTGGAAATCCATTAAGGAATTCGAATATCCAGACTTGTTTGATGCGCATCACGGAATTGCTCTGCATGCACTGCAGGGGAATCGAGCCTCATCTCGCATCTATGGGGAAGTCTCATGGTTTTTCTCGAGTTGCGGCGGGGATATGCGGTATGTTCTCGAGTTAGGGCGGGGATGGCCCTTCAAATCACATGTTTATTCAGTGACATCAGGACTCCTGTCTAGTAACGTGGGACAACTCAGGAAGCTCTTCGAGGCTTGGCAGGGCAAAAGGGACGCTTCTCGAGGTGAGGAAGGGCTCCCAAGGACCCTTTCCAGTAGCCACAGGGATTTTTGGATTCCTATCAATATTCAAGAGGAGACAGGCATCATCACCTTTTGAAGCAGTGAACTCTGCGTGCCTCCCGAGGTGTCAACTTGATGTGAGGCATTCCATCATAATGAGGCAGGGACCTAGGGCTATCTGTAAGGTCTCCGCAGGGTATTCAGACATCCCTTCATGTTGGGAGATGAAAGACGAGCCTGTATTCAAGCCACTGCAAGGAAACCCGGCCTCCTTTCAAGTTAGGGCTTCTCGCTGTATATCCCATTTTAGGCAGCAAACTCGGGGTCCCTACCACATACCTATTGCTTAAAGAAGCCTCCCCTTGAGGTGCTTCTGGAAAGTTGGCATACGTCTTGAGCTTAAGCCAGGGAATCAGCTCTCATCTCGAGACCATTTGGGGTACATGGAGCATTCTTCGAGATGCTGTGCTGAAGTTGGTGTTCCTCTAGACTTGGGACAGTGTTCTCGGGGCATCTCTGGAGTTGCCTGAAGAAGTCAAGCCACTGGTCGTGTTTAATGGGGAACCGCGGATGGCTCCGGAGTCAACGCAGGGGAATCGGGCCTCATCTCGAGTTGATTTGGGGCACATGGAGCTGCTTTGCATTGCAGGGGTGACCTCAGGGTCCGTCTAGACTTGTGACAGTGTTCTTGGGGACTGTCTCGAGATCCATTAAGCAAGTCGAAGCTTCTGACTTGTTGGATGGGGATCACGGAATTGCTCTGCATGCCCTGCAGGGGAATCGTGCCTCATCTCGCATCTAGGGGGAAGTCTCATGGTTTTACTCGAGTTGCGGTGGGGACCTGTGGTACATTATCGAGTTACGGGGGGATGGCCCTTCAAAACACGTGTTTATTCAGTGACGTCAGGACTCCTATCTAGTAACGAGGGACACCTCAGGAATCTCATAAGGCTTGGCAGGCCACAAGGGACACTTTTCGAGGTGAGTCAGGCCACCCAAGAACCCTTTCCAGTAGCCACAGTGTTTTTGGGGATTCCTATCAATATTCAAGAGGAGTCAGACATCGTCACCTTTTGAAGCAGTGAACTCCGCGTGCCTCTCGAGGTGTCAACGGGATGTGAGGCTTTCCGTCAAAATGAGGCAGGGACCTAGGGCTTTCTCTGAGAACTCCTCAGGGGATTCAGACATCCCTTCATGTTGTGAGATGATAGACGAGCCTGTATTCAATCCACTGCAAGGAAACATGGCCTCATTTCAAGTTAGGGCTTCTCGCTGTATATGCCACTTGAGGCAGCAAACTCGGGGTCCCTCCACATACATATTGCTGAGAGAAGCCTCCCCTTGAGGTGCTTCTGGAAAGTTGGCATACGTCTTGAGCCTAACCCAGGGAATCAGCTCTCATCTCGAGACGATTTGGGGTACACGAGGCATTCTTCGAGTTGCTGTGCTGAAGTTGGTGTTCCTCTAGACTTGGGACAGTGTTCTCGGGGCATGTCTGGAGGTGCCTGAAGGAAGTCAAGCCACTGGTCGTGTTTAATGGGGAACGGGGAATAGCTCTGGAGTCAACGCAGGGGAATTGGGCCTCATCTCGAGTTGATTTGTGGCACATGGAGCTGCTTTGCGTTGTTGGGGTGACCTCAGGGTCCGTCTAGACTTGTGACAGTGTTCTTCAGGACTCTGTTGAGATCCATTAAGCAAGTTGAATCTCATGACTTGTTTGATGGGGATCACGGAATTGCTCTGCATGCACTGCAGGAGAATCGGACTCCACTCACATCTAGGGGGAAGTCTCATGTTTTTTCTCGAGTTGCGGCGGGGAACTGGGGTATGTTCACGAGTTACGGTGGGGATGGCCCTTCAAACACGAGTTTATTCAGTGACGTCAGGACTCCTGTCTAGTAAGGAGGGACACGTAAGGGATCTCTTCGAGGCTTGGCAGGCCACAAGGGACGCTTCTCGAGGAAAGGCAGGGCACCCAAGGACCCTTTCAAGTAGCCACAGGGATTTTGGGATTCCTATCAATGTTCAAGAATAGTCAGCCTTCGTCACCTTTTGAAGCAGTGAACTCCGCGTGCCTCTCGAGGTGTCCTCGGGATGTGAGGCATTCCGTCAAAATGAGGCAGGGACCTAGGGCTTTCTCTAAGGTCTCCACAGGAGATTCAGACATCCCTTCATGTTGTGAGATGAAAGACGAACCTGTATTCAAGCCACTGCAAAAAAATCCAGCCTCCTTTCTAATTAGTGCTTCTCACTGTTTATTCCACTTGAGGCAGCAAACTCGGGGTCCCTCCCACATACCTATTGCTGAGAGAAGCCTCCACTTGAGGTGCTTCCGGAAAGTTGGCATACGTCTTGAGCCTAAGCCAGGGAATCAGCTTTGATCTCGAGAAGATTTGAGGTACACGGAGCATTCCTCGAGTTGCTGTGCTGAGGTTGGTGTTCCTCTAGACTTGGGACAGTGTTCTCGGGGCATCTCTGGAGTTGCCTAAAGGAAGTCAAGCCACTGGTCTTTTTAATGAGGAACGGGGGAAGGCTCTGGGGTCAACGCAGGGGAATCGGGCCTCATCTCCAGTTGATTTGGGGCACATGGAGCTGCTTTGCGTTGCAGGGGTGACCTCAGGGTAAGTCTACACTTGTGACAGTGTCTTGGGGACTGTCTCGAGATCCATTAAGCAAGTCGAAGCTCCTGAATTGATTGATGGGGATCACGGAATTGCTCTGCGTGCACTGCAGGGGAATCGGGCCTCATCTCACATCTAGGGGGAAGTCTCATGGTTTTTTTCGATTTGCGGCGGGGACCTGCGGTATGTTCTCGAGTTACGGCGGGGATTGCCCTTCAAAACTCGTGTTTATTCAGTGACGTCAGGACTCCTGTCTAGTAACGAGGGACACCTCAGTAATCTCTTCGAGGACTGGCAGGGCACGAGGGATGCTTCTCGAGGTGAGCAGTGCACCCAAGGGCCTTTCCCAGTAGCCACAGAGATTTTGGGATTTCTACCAATATTCACCATGAGTCAGGCTACGTTACCTTTTGAAGCAGTGAACTCCGCGTGCCTCTCGAGGTGTCAACGGAATGTGAGGCATTCCGTCATAATGAGGCAGGTACCTAGGGCTTTCTCTAAGGTCTCCACAGGGGATTCAGACATCCCTTCATATTGGGCGATGAAAGACGAGCTGTATTCAAGCCACTGCAAGGAAACCCGGCCTCCATTCATGTTACGGCTTCTCGCTGTATATCCCACTTGGGGCAGCAAACTCGGGGTCCCTCCCACATACCTATTGCTGAGAGAAGCCTCCTCCTGAGGTGCTTCTGGAAAGTTGGCATACGTCTTGAGCCTAAGCCAGGGAATCAGCTCTGAACTCGAGACGATTTGGGGTGCATGTTGCATTCTTCGAGTTGCTGTGCTGAAGTTGGTGTTCCTCTAGACTTGGGACAGTGTTCTCGGGGCATCTCGGGAGTTGCCTGAAGGAAGTCAAGCCACTGGTCGTTTTTTATGGGGAACGGGGGATGGCTCTGGAGTCAACGCTAGGGAATCGGGCCTCATCTCGAGTTGATTTGGGGCACATGGAGCTGCTTTGCATTTCAGGGGTGACCTCAGTGTCCGTCTAGACTTGTGACAGTGTTCTTGGGGACTGTCTCGAAATCCATTAAGGAATTCGAATCTCCTGACTTGTTTGATGGTGATCACGGAATTGCTCTGCCTGCACTACAGGGGAATCGGGCCTCATCTCGCATCTAGGGGGAAGTCTCATGGTTTTTCTCGAGTTGCGGCGGGGATATGCGGTATGTTCTCGAGTTACGGCGGGGATGGCCTTTCAAAACACATGTTTATTCAGTGATGTCAGGACTCCTGTCTAGTAACGGGGGACACCTCAGGAATCTCTTTGAGGGTTTGCAGGGCACAAGGGACTCTTCTCGAAGTGAGGAAGTGCACCAAAGGACCTTTTCCAGTAGCCACAGGGATTTTGGGATTCCTATCAATATTCTAGAGGAGTCAGGCATCGTCACCTTTGGAAGCAGTGAACTCTGCGTGCCTCTCGAGGTGTCAACTTGATGTGAGGCATTCCGTCATAATGAGGCAGGGACCTAGGGCTTTCTCTAAGTTCTCCACAGGGGATTCAGACATACCTTCATGTTGGGAGATGAAAGACGAGCCTTATTCAAGCCACTTCAAGGAAACCCTGCCTCCTTTCAAGTTAGGGCTTCTCGCTGTATATCCCACTTGAGGCAGCAAACTCGGGGTCCCTACCACATACCTTTTGCTTAAAGAAGCCTCCCCTTGAGGTGCTTCTGGAAAGTTGGCATACGTCTTGAGGCTAAGCCAGGGAATCAGCTCTCATCTCGAGACGATTTGGGGTACATGGAGCATTCCACGAGTTGCTGTGCTGAAGTTGGTGTTCCTCTAGACTTGGGACAGTGTTCTCGGGGCATCTCTGGAGGTACCTGAAGGGAGTCAAGCCACTGGTCGTGTTGAATGGGGAACGGGGGTTAGCTCTGGAGTCAATGCAGTGGAATCGGGCCTCACCTCGAGTTGATTTGTGGCACATAGAGCTACTTTGCGTTGCTGTGGTAACCTCAGGGTCCATCTAGACTTGTGACAGTGTTCTTGGGGACTCTCTGGAAATCCATTAAGGAATTCGAATATCCAGACTTGTTTGATGCGCATCACTGAATTGCTCTGCATGCACTGCAGGGGAATCGAGCCTCATCTCGCATCTATGGGGAAGTCTCATGGTTTTTCTCGAGTTGCGGCGGGGATATGCGGTATGTTCTCGAGTTAGGGCGGGGATGGCCCTTCAAATCACATGTTTATTCAGTGACATCAGGACTCCTGTCTAGTAACGTGGGACAACTCAGGAAGCTCTTCGAGGCTTGGCAGGGCAAAAGGGACGCTTCTCGAGGTGAGGAAGGGCTCCCAAGGACCCTTTCCAGTAGCCACAGGGATTTTTGGATTCCTATCAATATTCAAGAGATACAGGCATCATCACCTTTTGAAGCAGTGAACTCTGCGTGCCTCCCGAGGTGTCAACTTGATGTGAGGCATTCCGTCATAATGAGGCAGGGACCTAGGGCTATCTGTAAGGTCTCCGCAGGGTATTCAGACATCCCTTCATGTTGGGAGATGAAAGACGAGCCTGTATTCAAGCCACTGCAAGGAAACCCGGCCTCCTTTCAAGTTAGGGCTTCTCGCTGTATATCCCATTTTAGGCAGCAAATTCGGGGTCCCTACCACATACCTATTGCTTAAAGAAGCCTCCCCTTGAGGTGCTTCTGGAAAGTTGGCATACGTCTTGAGCTTTAGCCAGGGAATCAGCTCTCATCTCGAGACCATTTGGGGTACATGGAGCATTCTTCGAGATGCTGTGCTGAAGTTGGTGTTCCTCTAGACTTGGGACAGTGTTCTCGGGGCATCTCTGGAGTTGCCTGAAGGAAGTCAAGCCACTGGTCGTGTTTAATGGGGAACCGCGGATGGCTCCGGAGTCAACGCAGGGGAATCGGGCCTCATCTCGAGTTGATTTGGGGCACATGGAGCTGCTTTGCATTGCAGGGGTGACCTCAGGGTCCGTCTAGACTTGTGACAGTGTTCTTGGGGACTGTCTCGAGATCCATTAAGCAAGTCGAAGCTTCTGACTTGTTGGATGGGGATCACGGAATTGCTCTGCATGCCCTGCAGGGGAATCGGGCCTCATCTCGCATCTAGGGGGAAGTCTCATGGTTTTACTCGAGTTGCGGTGGGGACCTGTGGTACATTATCGAGTTACGGTGGGGATGGCCCTTCAAACACGAGTTTATTCAGTGACGTCAGGACTCCTGTCTAGTAAGGAGGGACACGTAAGGGATCTCTTCGAGGCTTGGCAGGCCACAAGGGACGCTTCTCGAGGAAAGGCAGGGCACCCAAGGACCCTTTCAAGTAGCCACAGGGATTTTGGGATTCCTATCAATTTTCAAGAATAGTCAGCCTTCGTCACCTTTTGAAGCAGTGAACTCCGCGTGCCTCTCGAGGTGTCAACGGGATGTGAGGCATTCCGTCAAAATGAGGCAGGGACCTAGGGCTTTCTCTAAGGTCTCCACAGGAGATTCAGACATCCCTTCATGTTGTGAGATGAAAGACGAACCTGTATTCAAGCCACTGCAAAAAAATCCAGCCTCCTTTCTAATTAGGGCTTCTCGCTGTTTATTCCACTTGAGGCAGCAAACTCGGGGTCCCTCCCACATACCTATTGCTGAGAGAAGCCTCCACTTGAGGTGCTTCCGGAAAGTTGGCATACGTCTTGAGCCTAAGCCAGGGAATCAGCTTTGATCTCGAGAAGATTTGAGGTACACGGAGCATTCCTCGAGTTGCTGTGCTGAGGTTGGTGTTCCTCTAGACTTGGGACAGTGTTCTCGGGGCATCTCTGGAGTTGCCTAAAGGAAGTCAAGCCACTGGTCTTTTTAATGAGGAACGGGGGAAGGCTCTGGGGTCAACGCAGGGGAATCGGGCCTCATCTCCAGTTGATTTGGGGCACATGGAGCTGCTTTGCGTTGCAGGGGTGACCTCAGGGTAAGTCTACACTTGTGACAGTGTCTTGGGGACTGTCTCGAGATCCATTAAGCAAGTCGAAGCTCCTGAATTGATTGATGGGGATCACGGAATTGCTCTGCGTGCACTGCAGGGGAATCGGGCCTCATCTCACATCTAGGGGGAAGTCTCATGGTTTTTTTCGATTTGCGGCGGGGACCTGCGGTATGTTCTCGAGTTACGGCGGGGATTGCCCTTCAAAACTCGTGTTTATTCAGTGACGTCAGGACTCCTGTCTAGTAACGAGGGACACCTCAGTAATCTCTTCGAGGACTGGCAGGGCACGAGGGATGCTTCTCGAGGTGAGCAGTGCACCCAAGGGCCTTTCCCAGTAGCCACAGAGATTTTGGGATTTCTACCAATATTCACCATGAGTCAGGCTACGTTACCTTTTGAAGCAGTGAACTCCGCGTGCCTCTCGAGGTGTCAACGGAATGTGAGGCATTCCGTCATAATGAGGCAGGTACCTAGGGCTTTCTCTAAGGTCTCCACAGGGGATTCAGACATCCCTTCATATTGGGCGATGAAAGACGAGCTGTATTCAAGCCACTGCAAGGAAACCCGGCCTCCATTCATGTTACGGCTTCTCGCTGTATATCCCACTTGGGGCAGCAAACTCGGGGTCCCTCCCACATACCTATTGCTGAGAGAAGCCTCCTCCTGAGGTGCTTCTGGAAAGTTGGCATACGTCTTGAGCCTAAGCCAGGGAATCAGCTCTGAACTCGAGACGATTTGGGGTGCATGTTGCATTCTTCGAGTTGCTGTGCTGAAGTTGGTGTTCCTCTAGACTTGGGACAGTGTTCTCGGGGCATCTCGGGAGTTGCCTGAAGGAAGTCAAGCCACTGGTCGTTTTTTATGGGGAACGGGGGATGGCTCTGGAGTCAACGCTAGGGAATCGGGCCTCATCTCGAGTTGATTTGGGGCACATGGAGCTGCTTTGCATTTCAGGGGTGACCTCAGTGTCCGTCTAGACTTGTGACAGTGTTCTTGGGGACTGTCTCGAAATCCATTAAGGAATTCGAATCTCCTGACTTGTTTGATGGTGATCACGGAATTGCTCTGCCTGCACTACAGGGGAATCGGGCCTCATCTCGCATCTAGGGGGAAGTCTCATGGTTTTTCTCGAGTTGCGGCGGGGATATACGGTATGTTCTCGAGTTACGGCGGGGATGGCCTTTCAAAACACATGTTTATTCAGTGATGTCAGGACTCCTGTCTAGTAACGGGGGACACCTCAGGAATCTCTTTGAGGGTTTGCAGGGCACAAGGGACTCTTCTCGAAGTGAGGAAGTGCACCAAAGGACCTTTTCCAGTAGCCACAGGGATTTTGGGATTCCTATCAATATTCTAGAGGAGTCAGGCATCGTCACCTTTGGAAGCAGTGAACTCTGCGTGCCTCTCGAGGTGTCAACTTGATGTGAGGCATTCCGTCATAATGAGGCAGGGACCTAGGGCTTTCTCTAAGTTCTCCACAGGGGATTCAGACATACCTTCATGTTGGGAGATGAAAGACGAGCCTTATTCAAGCCACTTCAAGGAAACCCTGCCTCCTTTCAAGTTAGGGCTTCTCGCTGTATATCCCACTTGAGGCAGCAAACTCGGGGTCCCTACCACATACCTTTTGCTTAAAGAAGCCTCCCCTTGAGGTGCTTCTGGAAAGTTGGCATACGTCTTGAGGCTAAGCCAGGGAATCAGCTCTCATCTCGAGACGATTTGGGGTACATGGAGCATTCCACGAGTTGCTGTGCTGAAGTTGCTGTTCCTCTAGACTTGGGACAGTGTTCTCGGGGCATCTCTGGAGGTGCCTGAAGGGAGTCAAGCCACTGGTCGTGTTGAATGGGGAACGGGGGTTAGCTCTGGAGTCAATGCAGTGGAATCGGGCCTCACCTCGAGTTGATTTGTGGCACATGGAGCTACTTTGCGTTGCTGTGGTAACCTCAGGGTCCATCTAGACTTGTGACAGTGTTCTTGGGGACTCTCTGGAAATCCATTAAGGAATTCGAATATCCAGACTTGTTTGATGCGCATCACGGAATTGCTCTGCATGCACTGCAGGGGAATCGAGCCTCATCTCGCATCTATGGGGAAGTCTCATGGTTTTTCTCGAGTTGCGGCGGGGATATGCGGTATGTTCTCGAGTTAGGGCGGGGATGGCCCTTCAAATCACATGTTTATTCAGTGACATCAGGACTCCTGTCTAGTAACGTGGGACAACTCAGGAAGCTCTTCGAGGCTTGGCAGGGCAAAAGGGACGCTTCTCGAGGTGAGGAAGGGCTCCCAAGGACCCTTTCCAGTAGCCACAGGGATTTTTGGATTCCTATCAATATTCAAGAGAGACAGGCATCATCACCTATTGAAGCAGTGAACTCTGCGTGCCTCCCGAGGTGTCAACTTGATGTGAGGCATTCCGTCATAATGAGGCAGGGACCTAGGGCTATCTGTAAGGTCTCCGCAGGGTATTCAGACATCCCTTCATGTTGGGAGATGAAAGACGAGCCTGTATTCAAGCCACTGCAAGGAAACCCGGCCTCCTTTCAAGTTAGGGCTTCTCGCTGTATATCCCATTTTAGGCAGCAAACTCGGGGTCCCTACCACATACCTATTGCTTAAAGAAGCCTCCCCTTGAGGTGCTTCTGGAAAGTTGGCATACGTCTTGAGCTTTAGCCAGGGAATCAGCTCTCATCTCGAGACCATTTGGGGTACATGGAGCATTCTTCGAGATGCTGTGCTGAAGTTGGTGTTCCTCTAGACTTGGGACAGTGTTCTCGGGGCATCTCTGGAGTTGCCTGAAGGAAGTCAAGCCACTGGTCGTGTTTAATGGGGAACCGCGGATGGCTCCGGAGTCAACGCAGGGGAATCGGGCCTCATCTCGAGTTGATTTGGGGCACATGGAGCTGCTTTGCATTGCAGGGGTGACCTCAGGGTCCGTCTAGACTTGTGACAGTGTTCTTGGGGACTGTCTCGAGATCCATTAAGCAAGTCGAAGCTTCTGACTTGTTGGATGGGGATCACGGAATTGCTCTGCATGCCCTGCAGGGGAATCGGGCCTCATCTCGCATCTAGGGGGAAGTCTCATGGTTTTACTCGAGTTGCGGTGGGGACCTGTGGTACATTATCGAGTTACGGTGGGGATGGCCCTTCAAACACGAGTTTATTCAGTGACGTCAGGACTCCTGTCTAGTAAGGAGGGACACGTAAGGGATCTCTTCGAGGCTTGGCAGGCCACAAGGGACGCTTCTCGAGGAAAGGCAGGGCACCCAAGGACCCTTTCAAGTAGCCACAGGGATTTTGGGATTCCTATCAATTTTCAAGAATAGTCAGCCTTCGTCACCTTTTGAAGCAGTGAACTCCGCGTGCCTCTCGAGGTGTCAACGGGATGTGAGGCATTCCGTCAAAATGAGGCAGGGACCTAGGGCTTTCTCTAAGGTCTCCACAGGAGATTCAGACATCCCTTCATGTTGTGAGATGAAAGACGAACCTGTATTCAAGCCACTGCAAAAAAATCCAGCCTCCTTTCTAATTAGGGCTTCTCGCTGTTTATTCCAATTGAGGCAGCAAACTCGGGGTCCCTCCCACATACCTATTGCTGAGAGAAGCCTCCACTTGAGGTGCTTCCGGAAAGTTGGCATACGTCTTGAGCCTAAGCCAGGGAATCAGCTTTGATCTCGAGAAGATTTGAGGTACACGGAGCATTCCTCGAGTTGCTGTGCTGAGGTTGGTGTTCCTCTAGACTTGGGACAGTGTTCTCGGGGCATCTCTGGAGTTGCCTAAAGGAAGTCAAGCCACTGGTCTTTTTAATGAGGAACGGGGGAAGGCTCTGGGGTCAACGCAGGGGAATCGGGCCTCATCTCCAGTTGATTTGGGGCACATGGAGCTGCTTTGCGTTGCAGGGGTGACCTCAGGGTAAGTCTACACTTGTGACAGTGTCTTGGGGACTGTCTCGAGATCCATTAAGCAAGTCGAAGCTCCTGAATTGATTGATGGGGATCACGGAATTGCTCTGCGTGCACTGCAGGGGAATCGGGCCTCATCTCACATCTAGGGGGAAGTCTCATGGTTTTTTTCAATTTGCGGCGGGGACCTGCGGTATGTTCTCGAGTTACGGCGGGGATTGCCCTTCAAAACTCGTGTTTATTCAGTGACGTCAGGACTCCTGTCTAGTAACGAGGGACACCTCAGTAATCTCTTCGAGGACTGGCAGGGCACGAGGGATGCTTCTCGAGGTGAGCAGTGCACCCAAGGGCCTTTCCCAGTAGCCACAGAGATTTTGGGATTTCTACCAATATTCACCATGAGTCAGGCTACGTTACCTTTTGAAGCAGTGAACTCCGCGTGCCTCTCGAGGTGTCAACGGAATGTGAGGCATTCCGTCATAATGAGGCAGGTACCTAGGGCTTTCTCTAAGGTCTCCACAGGGGATTCAGACATCCCTTCATATTGGGCGATGAAAGACGAGCTGTATTCAAGCCACTGCAAGGAAACCCGGCCTCCATTCATGTTACGGCTTCTCGCTGTATATCCCACTTGGGGCAGCAAACTCGGGGTCCCTCCCACATACCTATTGCTGAGAGAAGCCTCCTCCTGAGGTGCTTCTGGAAAGTTGGCATACGTCTTGAGCCTAAGCCAGGGAATCAGCTCTGAACTCGAGACGATTTGGGGTGCATGTTGCATTCTTCGAGTTGCTGTGCTGAAGTTGGTGTTCCTCTAGACTTGGGACAGTGTTCTCGGGGCATCTCGGGAGTTGCCTGAAGGAAGTCAAGCCACTGGTCGTTTTTTATGGGGAACGGGGGATGGCTCTGGAGTCAACGCAAGGGAATCGGGCCTCATCTCGAGTTGATTTGGGGCACATGGAGCTGCTTTGCATTTCAGGGGTGACCTCAGTGTCCGTCTAGACTTGTGACAGTGTTCTTGGGGACTGTCTCGAAATCCATTAAGGAATTCGAATCTCCTGACTTGTTTGATGGTGATCACGGAATTGCTCTGCCTGCACTACAGGGGAATCGGGCCTCATCTCGCATCTAGGGGGAAGTCTCATGGTTTTTCTCGAGTTGCGGCGGGGATATGCGGTATGTTCTCGAGTTACGGCGGGGATGGCCTTTCAAAACACATGTTTATTCAGTGATGTCAGGACTCCTGTCTAGTAACGTGGGACACCTCAGGAATCTCTTTGAGGGTTTGCAGGGCACAAGGGACTCTTCTCGAAGTGAGGAAGTGCACCAAAGGACCTTTTCCAGTAGCCACAGGGATTTTGGGATTCCTATCAATATTCTAGAGGAGTCAGGCATCGTCACCTTTGGAAGCAGTGAACTCTGCGTGCCTCTCGAGGTGTCAACTTGATGTGAGGCATTCCGTCATAATGAGGCAGGGACCTAGGGCTTTCTCTAAGTTCTCCACAGGGGATTCAGACATACCTTCATGTTGGGAGATGAAAGACGAGCCTTATTCAAGCCACTTCAAGGAAACCCTGCCTCCTTTCAAGTTAGGGCTTCTCGCTGTATATCCCACTTGAGGCAGCAAACTCGGGGTCCCTACCACATACCTTTTGCTTAAAGAAGCCTCCCCTTGAGGTGCTTCTGGAAAGTTGGCATACGTCTTGAGGCTAAGCCAGGGAATCAGCTCTCATCTCGAAACGATTTGGGGTACATGGAGCATTCCACGAGTTGCTGTGCTGAAGTTGGTGTTCCTCTAGACTTGGGACAGTGTTCTCGGGGCATCTCTGGAGGTGCCTGAAGGGAGTCAAGCCACTGGTCGTGTTGAATGGGGAACGGGGGTTAGCTCTGGAGTCAATGCAGTGGAATCGGGCCTCACCTCGAGTTGATTTGTGGCACATGGAGCTACTTTGCGTTGCTGTGGTAACCTCAGGGTCCATCTAGACTTGTGACAGTGTTCTTGGGGACTCTCTGGAAATCCATTAAGGAATTCGAATATCCAGACTTGTTTGATGCGCATCACGGAATTGCTCTGCATGCACTGCAGGGGAATCGAGCCTCATCTCGCATCTATGGGGAAGTCTCATGGTTTTTCTCGAGTTGCGGCGGGGATATGCGGTATGTTCTCGAGTTAGGGCGGGGATGGCCCTTCAAATCACATGTTTATTCAGTGACATCAGGACTCCTGTCTAGTAACGTGGGACAACTCAGGAAGCTCTTCGAGGCTTGGCAGGGCAAAAGGGACGCTTCTCGAGGTGAGGAAGGGCTCCCAAGGACCCTTTCCAGTAGCCACAGGGATTTTTGGATTCCTATCAATATTCAAGAGGAGACAGGCATCGTCACCTTTGGAAGCAGTGAACTCTGCGTGCCTCTCGAGGTGTCAACTTGATGTGAGGCATTCCGTCATAATGAGGCAGGGACCTAGGGCTATCTGTAAGGTCTCCGCAGGGTATTCAGACATCCCTTCATGTTGGGAGATGAAAGACGAGCCTGTATTCAAGCCACTGCAAGGAAACCCGGCCTCCTTTCAAGTTAGGGCTTCTCGCTGTATATCCCATTTTAGGCAGCAAACTCGGGGTCCCTACCACATACCTATTGCTTAAAGAAGCCTCCCCTTGAGGTGCTTCTGGAAAGTTGGCATACGTCTTGAGCTTAAGCCAGGGAATCAGCTCTCATCTCGAGACCATTTGGGGTACATGGAGCATTCTTCGAGATGCTGTGCTGAAGTTGGTGTTCCTCTAGACTTGGGACAGTGTTCTCGGGGCATCTCTGGAGTTGCCTGAAGGAAGTCAAGCCACTGGTCATGTTTAATGGGGAACCTCGGATGGCTCCGGAGTCAACGCAGGGGAATCGGGCCTCATCTCGAGTTGATTTGGGGCACATGGAGCTGCTTTGCATTGCAGGGGTGACCTCAGGGTCCATCTAGACTTGTGACAGTTTTCTTGGGGACTGTCTCGAGATCCATTAAGCAAGTCGAAGCTTCTGACTTGTTGGATGGGGATCACGGAATTGCTCTGCATGCCCTGCAGGGGAATCGGGCCTCATCTCGCATCTAGGGGGAAGTCTCATGGTTTTACTCGAGTTGCGGTGGGGACCTGTGGTACATTATCGAGTTACGGTGGGGATGGCCCTTCAAACACGAGTTTATTCAGTGACGTCAGGACTCCTGTCTAGTAAGGAGGGACACGTAAGGGATCTCTTCGAGGCTTGGCAGGCCACAAGGGACGCTTCTCGAGGAAAGGCAGGGCACCCAAGGACCCTTTCAAGTAGCCACAGGGATTTTGGGTTTCCTATCAATATTCAAGAGGAGTCAGGCATCGTCACCTTTTGAAGCAGTGAACTCCGCGTGCCTCTCGAGGTGTCAACGGGATGTGAGGCATTCCGTCAAAATGAGGCAGGGACCTAGGGCTTTCTCTAAGGTCTCCACAGGAGATTCAGACATCCCTTCATGTTGTGAGATGAAAGACGAACCTGTATTCAAGCCACTGCAAAAAAATCCAGCCTCCTTTCTAATTAGGGCTTCTCGCTGTTTATTCCACTTGCGGCAGCAAACTCGGGGTCCCTCCCACATACCTATTGCTGAGAGAAGCCTCCACTTGAGGTGCTTCCGGAAAGTTGGCATACGTCTTGAGCCTAAGCCAGGGAATCAGCTTTGATCTCGAGAAGATTTGAGGTACACGGAGCATTCCTCGAGTTGCTGTGCTGAGGTTGGTGTTCCTCTAGACTTGGGACAGTGTTCTCGGGGCATCTCTGGAGTTGCCTAAAGGAAGTCAAGCCACTGGTCTTTTTAATGAGGAACGGGGGAAGGCTCTGGGGTCAACGCAGGGGAATCGGGCCTCATCTCCAGTTGATTTGGGGCACATGGAGCTGCTTTGCGTTGCAGGGGTGACCTCAGGGTAAGTCTACACTTGTGACAGTGTCTTGGGGACTGTCTCGAGATCCATTAAGCAAGTCGAAGCTCCTGAATTGATTGATGGGGATCACGGAATTGCTCTGCGTGCACTGCAGGGGAATCGGGCCTCATCTCACATCTAGGGGGAAGTCTCATGGTTTTTTTCGATTTGCGGCGGGGACCTGCGGTATGTTCTCGAGTTACGGCGGGGATTGCCCTTCAAAACTCGTGTTTATTCAGTGACGTCAGGACTCCTGTCTAGTAACGAGGGACACCTCAGTAATCTCTTCGAGGACTGGCAGGGCACGAGGGATGCTTCTCGAGGTGAGCAGTGCACCCAAGGGCCTTTCCCAGTAGCCACAGAGATTTTGGGATTTCTACCAATATTCACCATGAGTCAGGCTACGTTACCTTTTGAAGCAGTGAACTCCGCGTGCCTCTCGAGGTGTCAACGGAATGTGAGGCATTCCGTCATAATGAGGCAGGTACCTAGGGCTTTCTCTAAGGTCTCCACAGGGGATTCAGACATCCCTTCATATTGGGCGATGAAAGACGAGCTGTATTCAAGCCACTGCAAGGAAACCCGGCCTCCATTCATGTTACGGCTTCTCGCTGTATATCCCACTTGGGGCAGCAAACTCGGGGTCCCTCCCACATACCTATTGCTGAGAGAAGCCTCCTCCTGAGGTGCTTCTGGAAAGTTGGCATACGTCTTGAGCCTAAGCCAGGGAATCAGCTCTGAACTCGAGACGATTTGGGGTGCATGTTGCATTCTTCGAGTTGCTGTGCTGAAGTTGGTGTTCCTCTAGACTTGGGACAGTGTTCTCGGGGCATCTCGGGAGTTGCCTGAAGGAAGTCAAGCCACTGGTCGTTTTTTATGGGGAACGGGGGATGGCTCTGGAGTCAACGCAAGGGAATCGGGCCTCATCTCGAGTTGATTTGGGGCACATGGAGCTGCTTTGCATTTCAGGGGTGACCTCAGTGTCCGTCTAGACTTGTGACAGTGTTCTTGGGGACTGTCTCGAAATCCATTAAGGAATTCGAATCTCCTGACTTGTTTGATGGTGATCACGGAATTGCTCTGCCTGCACTACAGGGGAATCGGGCCTCATCTCGCATCTAGGGGGAAGTCTCATGGTTTTTCTCGAGTTGCGGCGGGGATATGCGGTATGTTCTCGAGTTACGGCGGGGATGGCCTTTCAAAACACATGTTTAGTCAGTGATGTCAGGACTCCTGTCTAGTAACGTGGGACACCTCAGGAATCTCTTTGAGGGTTTGCAGGGCACAAGGGACTCTTCTCGAAGTGAGGAAGTGCACCAAAGGACCTTTTCCAGTAGCCACAGGGATTTTGGGATTCCTATCAATATTCTAGAGGAGTCAGGCATCGTCACCTTTGGAAGCAGTGAACTCTGCGTGCCTCTCGAGGTGTCAACTTGATGTGAGGCATTCCGTCATAATGAGGCAGGGACCTAGGGCTTTCTCTAAGTTCTCCACAGGGGATTCAGACATACCTTCATGTTGGGAGATGAAAGACGAGCCTTATTCAAGCCACTTCAAGGAAACCCTGCCTCCTTTCAAGTTAGGGCTTCTCGCTGTATATCCCACTTGAGGCAGCAAACTCGGGGTCCCTACCACATACCTTTTGCTTAAAGAAGCCTCCCCTTGAGGTGCTTCTGGAAAGTTGGCATACGTCTTGAGGCTAAGCCAGGGAATCAGCTCTCATCTCGAAACGATTTGGGGTACATGGAGCATTCCACGAGTTGCTGTGCTGAAGTTGGTGTTCCTCTAGACTTGGGACAGTGTTCTCGGGGCATCTCTGGAGGTGCCTGAAGGGAGTCAAGCCACTGGTCGTGTTGAATGGGGAACGGGGGTTAGCTCTGGAGTCAATGCAGTGGAATCGGGCCTCACCTCGAGTTGATTTGTGGCACATGGAGCTACTTTGCGTTGCTGTGGTAACCTCAGGGTCCATCTAGACTTGTGACAGTGTTCTTGGGGACTCTCTGGAAATCCATTAAGGAATTCGAATATCCAGACTTGTTTGATGCGCATCACGGAATTGCTCTGCATGCACTGCTGGGGAATCGAGCCTCATCTCGCATCTATGGGGAAGTCTCATGGTTTTTCTCGAGTTGCGGCGGGGATATGCGGTATGTTCTCGAGTTAGGGCGGGGATGGCCCTTCAAATCACATGTTTATTCAGTGACATCAGGACTCCTGTCTAGTAACGTGGGACAACTCAGGAAGCTCTTCGAGGCTTGGCAGGGCAAAAGGGACGCTTCTCGAGGTGAGGAAGGGCTCCCAAGGACCCTTTCCAGTAGCCACAGGGATTTTTGGATTCCTATCAATATTCAAGAGGAGACAGGCATCGTCACCTTTGGAAGCAGTGAACTCTGCGTGCCTCTCGAGGTGTCAACTTGATGTGAGGCATTCCGTCATAATGAGGCAGGGACCTAGGGCTATCTGTAAGGTCTCCGCAGGGTATTCAGACATCCCTTCATGTTGGGAGATGAAAGACGAGCCTGTATTCAAGCCACTGCAAGGAAACCCGGCCTCCTTTCAAGTTAGGGCTTCTCGCTATATATCCCATTTTAGGCAGCAAACTCGGGGTCCCTACCACATACCTATTGCTTAAAGAAGCCTCCCCTTGAGGTGCTTCTGGAAAGTTGGCATACGTCTTGAGCTTAAGCCAGGGAATCAGCTCTCATCTCGAGACCATTTGGGGTACATGGAGCATTCTTCGAGATGCTGTGCTGAAGTTGGTGTTCCTCTAGACTTGGGACAGTGTTCTCGCGGCATCTCTGGAGTTGCCTGAAGGAAGTCAAGCCACTGGTCATGTTTAATGGGGAACCTCGGATGGCTCCGGAGTCAACGCAGGGGAATCGGGCCTCATCTCGAGTTGATTTGGGGCACATGGAGCTGCTTTGCATTGCAGGGGTGACCTCAGGGTCCGCCTAGACTTGTGACAGTGTTCTTGGGGACTGTCTCGAGATCCATTAAGCAAGTCGAAGCTTCTGACTTGTTGGATGGGGATCACGGAATTGCTCTGCATGCCCTGCAGGGGAATCGGGCCTCATCTCGCATCTAGGGGGAAGTCTCATGGTTTTACTCGAGTTGCGGTGGGGACCTGTGGTACATTATCGAGTTACGGTGGGGATGGCCCTTCAAACACGAGTTTATTCAGTGACGTCAGGACTCCTGTCTAGTAAGGAGGGACACGTAAGGGATCTCTTCGAGGCTTGGCAGGCCACAAGGGACGCTTCTCGAGGAAAGGCAGGGCACCCAAGGACCCTTTCAAGTAGCCACAGGGATTTTGGGATTCCTATCAATGTTCAAGAATAGTCAGCCTTCGTCACCTTTTGAAGCAGTGAACTCCGCGTGCCTCTCGAGGTGTCAACGGGATGTGAGGCATTCCGTCAAAATGAGGCAGGGACCTAGGGCTTTCTCTAAGGTCTCCACAGGAGATTCAGACATCCCTTCATGTTGTGAGATGAAAGACGAACCTGTATTCAAGCCACTGCAAAAAAATCCAGCCTCCTTTCTAATTAGTGCTTCTCGCTGTTTATTCCACTTGAGGCAGCAAACTCGGGGTCCCTCCCACATACCTATTCCTGAGAGAAGCCTCCACTTGAGGTGCTTCCGGAAAGTTGGCATACGTCTTGAGCCTAAGCCAGGGAATCAGCTTTGATCTCGAGAAGATTTGAGGTACACGGAGCATTCCTCGAGTTGCTGTGCTGAGGTTGGTGTTCCTCTAGACTTGGGACAGTGTTCTCGGGGCATCTCTGGAGTTGCCTAAAGGAAGTCAAGCCACTGGTCTTTTTAATGAGGAACGGGGGAAGGCTCTGGGGTCAACGCAGGGGAATCGGGCCTCATCTCCAGTTGATTTGGGGCACATGGAGCTGCTTTGCGTTGCAGGGGTGACCTCAGGGTAAGTCTACACTTGTGACAGTGTCTTGGGGACTGTCTCGAGATCCATTAAGCAAGTCGAAGCTCCTGAATTGATTGATGGGGATCACGGAATTGCTCTGCGTGCACTGCAGGGGAATCGGGCCTCATCTCACATCTAGGGGGAAGTCTCATGGTTTTTTTCGATTTGCGGCGGGGACCTGTGGTATGTTCTCGAGTTACGGCGGGGATTGCCCTTCAAAACTCGTGTTTATTCAGTGACGTCAGGACTCCTGTCTAGTAACGAGGGACACCTCAGTAATCTCTTCGAGGACTGGCAGGGCACGAGGGATGCTTCTCGAGGTGAGCAGTGCACCCAAGGGCCTTTCCCAGTAGCCACAGAGATTTTGGGATTTCTACCAATATTCACCATGAGTCAGGCTACGTTACCTTTTGAAGCAGTGAACTCCGCGTGCCTCTCGAGGTGTCAACGGAATGTGAGGCATTCCGTCATAATGAGGCAGGTACCTAGGGCTTTCTCTAAGGTCTCCACAGGGGATTCAGACATCCCTTCATATTGGGCGATGAAAGACGAGCTGTATTCAAGCCACTGCAAGGAAACCCGGCCTCCATTCATGTTACGGCTTCTCGCTGTATATCCCACTTGGGGCAGCAAACTCGGGGTCCCTCCCACATACCTATTGCTGAGAGAAGCCTCCTCCTGAGGTGCTTCTGGAAAGTTGGCATACGTCTTGAGCCTAAGCCAGGGAATCAGCTCTGAACTCGAGACGATTTGGGGTGCATGTTGCATTCTTCGAGTTGCTGTGCTGAAGTTGGTGTTCCTCTAGACTTGGGACAGTGTTCTCGGGGCATCTCGGGAGTTGCCTGAAGGAAGTCAAGCCACTGGTCGTTTTTTATGGGGAACGGGGGATGGCTCTGGAGTCAACGCAAGGGAATCGGGCCTCATCTCGAGTTGATTTGGGGCACATGGAGCTGCTTTGCATTTCAGGGGTGACCTCAGTGTCCGTCTAGACTTGTGACAGTGTTCTTGGGGACTGTCTCGAAATCCATTAAGGAATTCGAATCTCCTGACTTGTTTGATGGTGATCACGGAATTGCTCTGCCTGCACTACAGGGGAATCGGGCCTCATCTCGCATCTAGGGGGAAGTCTCATGGTTTTTCTCGAGTTGCGGCGGGGATATGCGGTATGTTCTCGAGTTACGGCGGGGATGGCCTTTCAAAACACATGTTTAGTCAGTGATGTCAGGACTCCTGTCTAGTAACGTGGGACACCTCAGGAATCTCTTTGAGGGTTTGCAGGGCACAAGGGACTCTTCTCGAAGTGAGGAAGTGCACCAAAGGACCTTTTCCAGTAGCCACAGGGATTTTGGGATTCCTATCAATATTCTAGAGGAGTCAGGCATCGTCACCTTTGGAAGCAGTGAACTCTGCGTGCCTCTCGAGGTGTCAACTTGATGTGAGGCATTCCGTCATAATGAGGCAGGGACCTAGGGCTTTCTCTAAGTTCTCCACAGGGGATTCAGACATACCTTCATGTTGGGAGATGAAAGACGAGCCTTATTCAAGCCACTTCAAGGAAACCCTGCCTCCTTTCAAGTTAGGGCTTCTCGCTGTATATCCCACTTGAGGCAGCAAACTCGGGGTCCCTACCACATACCTTTTGCTTAAAGAAGCCTCCCCTTGAGGTGCTTCTGGAAAGTTGGCATACGTCTTGAGGCTAAGCCAGGGAATCAGCTCTCATCTCGAAACGATTTGGGGTACATGGAGCATTCCACGAGTTGCTGTGCTGAAGTTGGTGTTCCTCTAGACTTGGGACAGTGTTCTCGGGGCATCTCTGGAGGTGCCTGAAGGGAGTCAAGCCACTGGTCGTGTTGAATGGGGAACGGGGGTTAGCTCTGGAGTCAATGCAGTGGAATCGGGCCTCACCTCGAGTTGATTTGTGGCACATGGAGCTACTTTGCGTTGCTGTGGTAACCTCAGGGTCCATCTAGACTTGTGACAGTGTTCTTGGGGACTCTCTGGAAATCCATTAAGGAATTCGAATATCCAGACTTGTTTGATGCGCATCACAGAATTGCTCTGCATGCACTGCAGGGGAATCGAGCCTCATCTCGCATCTATGGGGAAGTCTCATGGTTTTTCTCGAGTTGCGGCGGGGATATGCGGTATGTTCTCGAGTTAGGGCGGGGATGGCCCTTCAAATCACATGTTTATTCAGTGACATCAGGACTCCTGTCTAGTAACGTGGGACAACTCAGGAAGCTCTTCGAGGCTTGGCAGGGCAAAAGGAATGCTTCTCGAGGTGAGGAAGGGCTCCCAAGGACCCTTTCCAGTAGCCACAGGGATTTTTGGATTCCTATCAATATTCAAGAGGAGACAGGCATCATCACCTTTTGAAGCAGTGAACTCTGCGTGCCTCCCGAGGTGTCAACTTGATGTGAGGCATTCCGTCATAATGAGGCAGGGACCTAGGGCTATCTGTAAGGTCTCCGCAGGGTATTCAGACATCCCTTCATGTTGGGAGATGAAAGACGAGCCTGTATTCAAACCACTGCAAGGAAACCAGGCCTCCTTTCAAGTTAGGGCTTCTCGCTGTATATCCCATTTTAGGCAGCAAACTCGGGGTCCCTACCACATACCTATTGCTTAAAGAAGCCTCCCCTTGAGGTGCTTCTGGAAAGTTGGCATACGTCTTGAGCTTAAGCCAGGGAATCAGCTCTCATCTCGAGACCTTTTGGGGTACATGGAGCATTCTTCGAGATGCTGTGCTGAAGTTGGTGTTCCTCTAGACTTGGGACAGTGTTCTCGGGGCATCTCTGGAGTTGCCTGAAGGAAGTCAAGCCACTGGTCGTGTTTAATGGGGAACCGCGGATGGCTCCGGAGTCAACGCAGGGGAATCGGGCCTCATCTCGAGTTGATTTGGGGCACATGGAGCTGCTTTGCATTGCAGGGCTGACCTCAGGGTCCGTCTAGACTTGTGACAGTGTTCTTGGGGACTGTCTCGAGATCCATTAAGCAAGTCGAAGCTTCTGACTTGTTGGATGGGGATCACGGAATTGCTCTGCAGGCCCTGCAGGGGAATCGGGCCTCATCTCGCATCTATGGGGAAGTCTCATGGTTTTACTCGAGTTGCGGTGGGGACCTGTGGTACATTATCGAGTTACGGGGGGATGGCCCTTCAAAACACGTGTTTATTCAGTGACGTCACGACTCCTATCTAGTAACGAGGGACACCTCAGGAATCTCATAAGGCTTGGCAGGCCACAAGGGACACTTTTCGAGGTGAGTCAGGCCACCCAAGAACCCTTTCCAGTAGCCACAGTGTTTTTGGGGATTCCTATCAATATTCAAGAGGAGTCAGACATCGTCACCTTTTGAAGCAGTGAACTCCGCGTGCCTCTCGTGGTGTCAACGGGATGTGAGGCTTTCCGTCAAAATGAGGCAGGGACCTAGGGCTTTCTCTGAGAACTCCTCAGGGGATTCAGACATCCCTTCATGTTGTGAGATGATAGACGAGCCTGTATTCAAGCCACTGCAAGGAAACACGGCCTCATTTCAAGTTAGGGCTTCTCGCTGTATATGCCACTTGAGGCAGCAAACTCGGGGTCCCTCCCACATACATATTGCTGAGAGAAGCCTCCCCTTGAGGTGCTTCTGGAAAGTTGGCATACGTCTTGAGCCTAACCCAGGGAATCAGCTCTCATCTCGAGACGATTTGGGGTACACGAGGCATTCTTCGAGTTGCTGTGCTGAAGTTGGTGTTCCTCTAGACTTGGGACAGTGTTCTCGGGGCATGTCTGGAGGTGCCTGAAGGAAGTCAAGCCACTGGTCGTGTTTAATGGGGAACGGGGAATAGCTCTGGAGTCAACGCAGGGGAATTGGGCCTCATCTCGAGTTGATTTGTGGCACATGGAGCTGCTTTGCGTTGTTGGGGTGACCTCAGGGTCCGTCTAGACTTGTGACAGTGTTCTTCGGGACTCTGTTGAGATCCATTAAGCAAGTTGAATCTCATGACTTGTTTGATGGGGATCACGGAATTGCTCTGCATGCACTGCAGGAGAATCGGACTCCACTCACATCTAGGGGGAAGTCTCATGGTTTTTCTCGAGTTGCGGCGGGGAACTGGGGTATGTTCACGAGTTACGGTGGGGATGGCCCTTCAAACACGAGTTTATTCAGTGACGTCAGGACTCCTGTCTAGTAAGGAGGGACACGTAAGGGATCTCTTCGAGGCTTGGCAGGCCACAAGGGACGCTTCTCGAGGAAAGGCAGGGCACCCAAGGACCCTTTCAAGTAGCCACAGGGATTTTGGGATTCCTATCAATGTTCAAGAATAGTCAGCCTTCGTCACCTTTTGAAGCAGTGAACTCCGCGTGCCTCTCGAGGTGTCAACGGGATGTGAGGCATTCCGTCAAAATGAGGCAGGGACCTAGGGCTTTCTCTAAGGTCTCCACAGGAGATTCAGACATCCCTTCATGTTGTGAGATGAAAGACGAACCTGTATTCAAGCCACTGCAAAAAAATCCAGCCTCCTTTCTAATTAGGGCTTCTCGCTGTTTATTCCACTTGAGGCAGCAAACTCGGGGTCCCTCCCACATACCTATTGCTGAGAGAAGCCTCCACTTGAGGTGCTTCCGGAAAGTTGGCATACGTCTTGAGCCTAAGCCAGGGAATCAGCTTTGATCTCGAGAAGATTTGAGGTACACGGAGCATTCCTCGAGTTGCTGTGCTGAGGTTGGTGTTCCTCTAGACTTGGGACAGTGTTCTCGGGGCATCTCTGGAGTTGCCTAAAGGAAGTCAAGCCACTGGTCTTTTTAATGAGGAACGGGGGAAGGCTCTGGGGTCAACGCAGGGGAATCGGGCCTCATCTCCAGTTGATTTGGGGCACATGGAGCTGCTTTGCGTTGCAGGGGTGACCTCAGGGTAAGTCTACACTTGTGACAGTGTCTTGGGGACTGTCTCGAGATCCATTAAGCAAGTCGAAGCTCCTGAATTGATTGATGGGGATCACAGAATTGCTCTGCGTGCACTGCAGGGGAATCGGGCCTCATCTCACATCTAGGGGGAAGTCTCATGGTTTTTTTCGATTTGCGGCGGGGACCTGCGGTATGTTCTCGAGTTACGGCGGGGATTGCCCTTCAAAACTCGTGTTTATTCAGTGACGTCAGCACTCCTGTCTAGTAACGAGGGACACCTCAGTAATCTCTTCGAGGACTGGCAGGGCACGAGGGATGCTTCTCGAGGTGAGCAGTGCACCCAAGGGCCTTTCCCAGTAGCCACAGAGATTTTGGGATTTCTACCAATATTCACCATGAGTCAGGCTACGTTACCTTTTGAAGCAGTGAACTCCGCGTGCCTCTCGAGGTGTCAACGGAATGTGAGGCATTCCGTCATAATGAGGCAGGTACCTAGGGCTTTCTCTAAGGTCTCCACAGGGGATTCAGACATCCCTTCATATTGGGCGATGAAAGACGAGCTGTATTCAAGCCACTGCAAGGAAACCCGGCCTCCATTCATGTTACGGCTTCTCGCTGTATATCCCACTTGGGGCAGCAAACTCGGGGTCCCTCCCACATACCTATTGCTGAGAGAAGCCTCCTCCTGAGGTGCTTCTGGAAAGTTGGCATACGTCTTGGGCCTAAGCCAGGGAATCAGCTCTGAACTCGAGACGATTTGGGGTGCATGTTGCATTCTTCGAGTTGCTGTGCTGAAGTTGGTGTTCCTCTAGACTTGGGACAGTGTTCTCGGGGCATCTCGGGAGTTGCCTGAAGGAAGTCAAGCCACTGGTCGTTTTTTATGGGGAACGGGGGATGGCTCTGGAGTCAACGCAAGGGAATCGGGCCTCATCTCGAGTTGATTTGGGGCACATGGAGCTGCTTTGCATTTCAGGGGTGACCTCAGTGTCCGTCTAGACTTGTGACAGTGTTCTTGGGGACTGTCTCGAAATCCATTAAGGAATTCGAATCTCCTGACTTGTTTGATGGTGATCACGGAATTGCTCTGCCTGCACTACAGGGGAATCGGGCCTCATCTCGCATCTAGGGGGAAGTCTCATGGTTTTTCTCGAGTTGCGGCGGGGATATGCGGTATGTTCTCGAGTTACGGCGGGGATGGCCTTTCAAAACACATGTTTATTCAGTGATGTCAGGACTCCTGTCTAGTAACGTGGGACACCTCAGGAATCTCTTTGAGGGTTTGCAGGGCACAAGGGACTCTTCTCGAAGTGAGGAAGTGCACCAAAGGACCTTTTCCAGTAGCCACAGGGATTTTGGGATTCCTATCAATATTCTAGAGGAGTCAGGCATCGTCACCTTTGGAAGCAGTGAACTCTGCGTGCCTCTCGAGGTGTCAACTTGATGTGAGGCATTCCGTCATAATGAGGCAGGGACCTAGGGCTTTCTCTAAGTTCTCCACAGGGGATTCAGACATACCTTCATGTTGGGAGATGAAAGACGAGCCTTATTCAAGCCACTTCAAGGAAACCCTGCCTCCTTTCAAGTTAGTGCTTCTCGCTGTATATCCCACTTGAGGCAGCAAACTCGGGGTCCCTACCACATACCTTTTGCTTAAAGAAGCCTCCCCTTGAGGTGCTTCTGGGAAGTTGGCATACGTCTTGAGGCTAAACCAGGGAATCAGCTCTCATCTCGAGACGATTTGGGGTACATGGAGCATTCCACGAGTTGCTGTGCTGAAGATGGTGTTCCTCTAGACTTGGGACAGTGTTCTCGGGGCATCTCTGGAGGTGCCTGAAGGGAGTCAAGCCACTGGTCGTGTTGAATGGGGAACGGGGGTTAGCTCTGGAGTCAATGCAGTGGAATCGGGCCTCACCTCGAGTTGATTTGTGGCACATGGAGCTACTTTGCGTTGCTGTGGTAACCTCAGGGTCCATCTAGACTTGTGACAGTGTTCTTGGGGACTCTCTGGAAATCCATTAAGGAATTCGAATATCCAGACTTGTTTGATGCGCATCACGGAATTGCTCTGCATGCACTGCAGGGGAATCGAGCCTCATCTCGCATCTATGGGGAAGTCTCATGGTTTTTCTCGAGTTGCGGCGGGGATATGCGGTATGTTCTCGAGTTAGGGCGGGGATGGCCCTTCAAATCACATGTTTATTCAGTGACATCAGGACTCCTGTCTAGTAACGTGGGACAACTCAGGAAGCTCTTCGAGGCTTGGCAGGGCAAAAGGAATGCTTCTCGAGGTGAGGAAGGGCTCCCAAGGACCCTTTCCAGTAGCCACAGGGATTTTTGGATTCCTATCAATATTCAAGAGGAGACAAGCATCATCACCTTTTGAAGCAGTGAACTCTGCGTGCCTCCCGAGGTGTCAACTTGATGTGAGGCATTCCGTCATAATGAGGCAGGGACCTAGGGCTATCTGTAAGGTCTCCGCAGGGTATTCAGACATCCCTTCATGTTGGGAGATGAAAGACGAGCCTGTATTCAAACCACTGCAAGGAAACCCGGCCTCCTTTCAAGTTAGGGCTTCTCGCTGTATATCCCATTTTAGGCAGCAAACTCGGGGTCCCTACCACATACCTATTGCTTAAAGAAGCCTCCCCTTGAGGTGCTTCTGGAAAGTTGGCATACGTCTTGAGCTTAAGCCAGGGAATCAGCTCTCATCTCGAGACCATTTGGGGTACATGGAGCATTCTTCGAGATGCTGTGCTGAAGTTGGTGTTCCTCTAGACTTGGGACAGTGTTCTCGGGGCATCTCTGGAGTTGCCTGAAGGAAGTCAAGCCACTGGTCGTGTTTAATGGGGAACCGCGGATGGCTCCGGAGTCAACGCAGGGGAATCGGGCCTCATCTCGAGTTGATTTGGGGCACATGGAGCTGCTTTGCATTGCAGGGGTGACCTCAGGGTCCGTCTAGACTTGTGACAGTGTTCTTGGGGACTGTCTCGAGATCCATTAAGCAAGTCGAAGCTTCTGACTTGTTGGATGGGGATCACGGAATTGCTCTGCAGGCCCTGCAGGGGAATCGGGCCTCATCTCGCATCTAGGGGGAAGTCTCATGGTTTTACTCGAGTTGCGGTGGGGACCTGTGGTACATTATCGAGTTACGGGGGGATGGCCCTTCAAAACACGTGTTTATTCAGTGACGTCAGGACTCCTATCTAGTAACGAGGGACACCTCAGGAATCTCATAAGGCTTGGCAGGCCACAAGGGACACTTTTCGAGGTGAGTCAGGCCACCCAAGAACCCTTTCCAGTAGCCACAGTGTTTTTGGGGATTCCTATCAATATTCAAAAGGAGTCAGACATCGTCACCTTTTGAAGCAGTGAACTCCGCGTGCCTCTCGAGGTGTCAACGGGATGTGAGGCTTTCCGTCAAAATGAGGCAGGGACCTAGGGCTTTCTCTGAGAACTCCTCAGGGGATTCAGACATCCCTTCATGTTGTGAGATGATAGACGAGCCTGTATTCAAGCCACTGCAAGGAAACACGGCCTCATTTCAAGTTAGGGCTTCTCGCTGTATATGCCACTTGAGGCAGCAAACTCGGGGTCCCTCCCACATACATATTGCTGAGAGAAGCCTCCCCTTGAGGTGCTTCTGGAAAGTTGGCATACGTCTTGAGCCTAACCCAGGGAATCAGCTCTCATCTCGAGACGATTTGGGGTACACGAAGCATTCTTCGAGTTGCTGTGCTGAAGTTGGTGTTCCTCTAGACTTGGGACAGTGTTCTCGGGGCATGTCTGGAGGTGCCTGAAGGAAGTCAAGCCACTGGTCGTGTTTAATGGGGAACGGGGAATAGCTCTGGAGTCAACGCAGGGGAATTGGGCCTCATCTCGAGTTGATTTGTGGCACATGGAGCTGCTTTGCGTTGTTGGGGTGACCTCAGGGTCCGTCTAGACTTGTGACAGTGTTCTTTGGGACTCTGTTGAGATCCATTAAGCAAGTTGAATCTCATGACTTGTTTGATGGGGATCACGGAATTGCTCTGCATGCACTGCAGGAGAATCGGACTCCACTCACATCTAGGGGGAAGTCTCATGGTTTTTCTCGAGTTGCGGCGGGGAACTGGGGTATGTTCACGAGTTACGGTGGGGATGGCCCTTCAAACACGAGTTTATTCAGTGACGTCAGGACTCCTGTCTAGTAAGGAGGGGCACGTAAGGGATCTCTTCGAGGCTTGGCAGGCCACAAGGGACGCTTCTCGAGGAAAGGCAGGGCACCCAAGGACCCTTTCAAGTAGCCACAGGGATTTTGGGATTCCTATCAATGTTCAAGAATAGTCAGCCTTCGTCACCTTTTGAAGCAGTGAACTCCGCATGCCTCTCGAGGTGTCAACGGGATGTGAGGCATTCCGTCAAAATGAGGCAGGGACCTAGGGCTTTCTCTAAGGTCTCCACAGGAGATTCAGACATCCCTTCATGTTGTGAGATGAAAGACGAACCTGTATTCAAGCCACTGCAAAAAAATCCAGCCTCCTTTCTAATTAGGGCTTCTCGCTGTTTATTCCACTTGAGGCAGCAAACTCGGGGTCCCTCCCACATACCTATTGCTGAGAGAAGCCTCCACTTGAGGTGCTTCCGGAAAGTTGGCATACGTCTTGAGCCTAAGCCAGGGAATCAGCTTTGATCTCGAGAAGATTTGAGGTACACGGAGCATTCCTCGAGTTGCTGTGCTGAGGTTGGTGTTCCTCTAGACTTGGGACAGTGTTCTCGGGGCATCTCTGGAGTTGCCTAAAGGAAGTCAAGCCACTGGTCTTTTTAATGAGGAACGGGGGAAGGCTCTGGGGTCAACGCAGGGGAATCGGGCCTCATCTCCAGTTGATTTGGGGCACATGGAGCTGCTTTGCGTTGCAGGGGTGACCTCAGGGTAAGTCTACACTTGTGACAGTGTCTTGGGGACTGTCTCGAGATCCATTAAGCAAGTCGAAGCTCCTGAATTGATTGATGGGGATCACGGAATTGCTCTGCGTGCACTGCAGGGGAATCGGGCCTCATCTCACATCTAGGGGGAAGTCTCATGGTTTTTTTCGATTTGCGGCGGGGACCTGCGGTATGTTCTCGAGTTACGGCGGGGATTGCCCTTCAAAACTCGTGTTTATTCAGTGACGTCGGGACTCCTGTCTAGTAACGAGGGACACCTCAGTAATCTCTTCGAGGACTGGCAGGGCACGAGGGATGCTTCTCGAGGTGAGCAGTGCACCCAAGGGCCTTTCCCAGTAGCCACAGAGATTTTGGGATTTCTACCAATATTCACCATGAGTCAGGCTACGTTACCTTTTGAAGCAGTGAACTCCGCGTGCCTCTCGAGGTGTCAACGGAATGTGAGGCATTCCGTCATAATGAGGCAGGTACCTAGGGCTTTCTCTAAGGTCTCCACAGGGGATTCAGACATCCCTTCATATTGGGCGATGAAAGACGAGCTGTATTCAAGCCACTGCAAGGAAACCCGGCCTCCATTCATGTTACGGCTTCTCGCTGTATATCCCACTTGGGGCAGCAAACTCGGGGTCCCTCCCACATACCTATTGCTGAGAGAAGCCTCCTCCTGAGGTGCTTCTGGAAAGTTGGCATACGTCTTGAGCCTAAGCCAGGGAATCAGCTCTGAACTCGAGACGATTTGGGGTGCATGTTGCATTCTTCGAGTTGCTGTGCTGAAGTTGGTGTTCCTCTAGACTTGGGACAGTGTTCTCGGGGCATCTCGGGAGTTGCCTGAAGGAAGTCAAGCCACTGGTCGTTTTTTATGGGGAACGGGGGATGGCTCTGGAGTCAACGCAAGGGAATCGGGCCTCATCTCGAGTTGATTTGGGGCACATGGAGCTGCTTTGCATTTCAGGGGTGACCTCAGTGTCCGTCTAGACTTGTGACAGTGTTCTTGGGGACTGTCTCGAAATCCATTAAGGAATTCGAATCTCCTGACTTGTTTGATGGTGATCACGGAATTGCTCTGCCTGCACTACAGGGGAATCGGGCCTCATCTCGCATCTAGGGGGAAGTCTCATGGTTTTTCTCGAGTTGCGGCGGGGATATGCGGTATGTTCTCGAGTTACGGCGGGGATGGCCTTTCAAAACACATGTTTAGTCAGTGATGTCAGGACTCCTGTCTAGTAACGTGGGACACCTCAGGAATCTCTTTGAGGGTTTGCAGGGCACAAGGGACTCTTCTCGAAGTGAGGAAGTGCACCAAAGGACCTTTTCCAGTAGCCACAGGGATTTTGGGATTCCTATCAATATTCTAGAGGAGTCAGGCATCGTCACCTTTGGAAGCAGTGAACTCTGCGTGCCTCTCGAGGTGTCAACTTGATGTGAGGCATTCCGTCATAATGAGGCAGGGACCTAGGGCTTTCTCTAAGTTCTCCACAGGGGATTCAGACATACCTTCATGTTGGGAGATGAAAGACGAGCCTTATTCAAGCCACTTCAAGGAAACCCTGCCTCCTTTCAAGTTAGGGCTTCTCGCTGTATATCCCACTTGAGGCAGCAAACTCGGGGTCCCTACCACATACCTTTTGCTTAAAGAAGCCTCCCCTTGAGGTGCTTCTGGAAAGTTGGCATACGTCTTGAGGCTAAGCCAGGGAATCAGCTCTCATCTCGAAACGATTTGGGGTACATGGAGCATTCCACGAGTTGCTGTGCTGAAGTTGGTGTTCCTCTAGACTTGGGACAGTGTTCTCGGGGCATCTCTGGAGGTGCCTGAAGGGAGTCAAGCCACTGGTCGTGTTGAATGGGGAACGGGGGTTAGCTCTGGAGTCAATGCAGTGGAATCGGGCCTCACCTCGAGTTGATTTGTGGCACATGGAGCTACTTTGCGTTGCTGTGGTAACCTCAGGGTCCATCTAGACTTGTGACAGTGTTCTTGGGGACTCTCTGGAAATCCATTAAGGAATTCGAATATCCAGACTTGTTTGATGCGCATCACGGAATTGCTCTGCATGCACTGCAGGGGAATCGAGCCTCATCTCGCATCTATGGGGAAGTCTCATGGTTTTTCTCGAGTTGCGGCGGGGATATGCGGTATGTTCTCGAGTTAGGGCGGGGATGGCCCTTCAAATCACATGTTTATTCAGTGACATCAGGACTCCTGTCTAGTAACGTGGGACAACTCAGGAAGCTCTTCGAGGCTTGGCAGGGCAAAAGGGACGCTTCTCGAGGTGAGGAAGGGCTCCCAAGGACCCTTTCCAGTAGCCACAGGGATTTTTGGATTCCTATCAATATTCAAGAGGAGACAGGCATCATCACCTTTTGAAGCAGTGAACTCTGCGTGCCTCCCGAGGTGTCAACTTGATGTGAGGCATTCCGTCATAATGAGGCAGGGACCTAGGGCTATCTGTAAGGTCTCCGCAGGGTATTCAGACATCCCTTCATGTTGGGAGATGAAAGACGAGCCTGTATTCAAGCCACTGCAAGGAAACCCGGCCTCCTTTCAAGTTAGGGCTTCTCGCTGTATATCCCATTTTAGGCAGCAAACTCGGGGTCCCTACCACATACCTATTGCTTAAAGAAGCCTCCCCTTGAGGTGCTTCTGGAAAGTTGGCATACGTCTTGAGCTTAAGCCAGGGAATCAGCTCTCATCTCGAGACCATTTGGGGTACATGGAGCATTCTTCGAGATGCTGTGCTGAAGTTGGTGTTCCTCTAGACTTGGGACAGTGTTCTCGGGGCATCTCTGGAGTTGCCTGAAGGAAGTCAAGCCACTGGTCGTGTTTAATGGGGAACCGCGGATGGCTCCGGAGTCAACGCAGGGGAATCGGGCCTCATCTCGAGTTGATTTGGGGCACATGGAGCTGCTTTGCATTGCAGGGGTGACCTCAGGGTCCGTCTAGACTTGTGACAGTGTTCTTGGGGACTGTCTCGAGATCCATTAAGCAAGTCGAAGCTTCTGACTTGTTGGATGGGGATCACGGAATTGCTCTGCATGCCCTGCAGGGGAATCGTGCCTCATCTCGCATCTAGGGGGAAGTCTCATGGTTTTACTCGAGTTGCGGTGGGGACCTGTGGTACATTATCGAGTTACGGGGGGATGGCCCTTCAAAACACGTGTTTATTCAGTGACGTCAGGACTCCTATCTAGTAACGAGGGACACCTCAGGAATCTCATAAGGCTTGGCAGGCCACAAGGGACACATTTCGAGGTGAGTCAGGCCACCAAAGAACCCTTTCCAGTAGCCACAGTGTTTTTGGGGATTCCTATCAATATTCAAGAGGAGTCAGACATCGTCACCTTTTGAAGCAGTGAACTCCGCGTGCCTCTCGAGGTGTCAACGGGATGTGAGGCTTTCCGTCAAAATGAGGCAGGGACCTAGGGCTTTCTCTGAGAACTCCTCAGGGGATTCAGACATCCCTTCATGTTGTGAGATGATAGACGAGCCTGTATTCAAGCCACTGCAAGGAAACACGGCCTCATTTCAAGTTAGGGCTTCTCGCTGTATATGCCACTTGAGGCAGCAAACTCGGGGTCCCTCCCACATACATATTGCTGAGAGAAGCCTCCCCTTGAGGTGCTTCTGGAAAGTTGGCATACGTCTTGAGCCTAACCCAGGGAATCAGCTCTCATCTCGAGACGATTTGGGGTACACGAGGCATTCTTCGAGTTGCTGTGCTGAAGTTGGTGTTCCTCTAGACTTGGGACAGTGTTCTCGGGGCATGTCTGGAGGTGCCTGAAGGAAGTCAAGCCACTGGTCGTGTTTAATGGGGAACGGGGAATAGCTCTGGAGTCAACGCAGGGGAATTGGGCCTCATCTCGAGTTGATTTGTGGCACATGGAGCTGCTTTGCGTTGTTGGGGTGACCTCAGGGTCCGTCTAGACTTGTGACAGTGTTCTTTGGGACTCTGTTGAGATCCATTAAGCAAGTTGAATCTCATGACTTGTTTGATGGGGATCACGGAATTGCTCTGCATGCACTGCAGGAGAATCGGACTCCACTCACATCTAGGGGGAAGTCTCATGGTTTTTCTCGAGTTGCGGCGGGGAACTGGGGTATGTTCACGAGTTACGGTGGGGATGGCCCTTCAAACACGAGTTTATTCAGTGACGTCAGGACTCCTGTCTAGTAAGGAGGGACACGTAAGGGATCTCTTCGAGGCTTGGCAGGGCCACAAGGGACGCTTCTCGAGGAAAGGCAGGGCACCCAAGGACCCTTTCAAGTAGCCACAGGGATTTTGGGATTCCTATCAATGTTCAAGAATAGTCAGCCTTCGTCACCTTTTGAAGCAGTGAACTCCGCGTGCCTCTCGAGGTGTCAACGGGATGTGAGGCATTCCGTCAAAATGAGGCAGGGACCTAGGGCTTTCTCTAAGGTCTCCACAGGAGATTCAGACATCCCTTCATGTTGTGAGATGAAAGACGAACCTGTATTCAAGCCACTGCAAAAAAATCCAGCCTCCTTTCTAATTAGGGCTTCTCGCTGTTTATTCCACTTGAGGCAGCAAACTCGGGGTCCCTCCCACATACCTATTGCTGAGAGAAGCCTCCACTTGAGGTGCTTCCGGAAAGTTGGCATACGTCTTGAGCCTAAGCCAGGGAATCAGCTTTGATCTCGAGAAGATTTGAGGTACACGGAGCATTCCTCGAGTTGCTGTGCTGAGGTTGGTGTTCCTCTAGACTTGGGACAGTGTTCTCGGGGCATCTCTGGAGTTGCCTAAAGGAAGTCAAGCCACTGGTCTTTTTAATGAGGAACGGGGGAAGGCTCTGGGGTCAACGCAGGGGAATCGGGCCTCATCTCCAGTTGATTTGGGGCACATGGAGCTGCTTTGCGTTGCAGGGGTGACCTCAGGGTAAGTCTACACTTGTGACAGTGTCTTGGGGACTGTCTCGAGATCCATTAAGCAAGTCGAAGCTCCTGAATTGATTGATGGGGATCACGGAATTGCTCTGCGTGCACTGCAGGGGAATCGGGCCTCATCTCACATCTAGGGGGAAGTCTCATGGTTTTTTTCGATTTGCGGCGGGACCTGCGGTATGTTCTCGAGTTACGGCGGGGATTGCCCTTCAAAACTCGTGTTTATTCAGTGACGTCAGGACTCCTGTCTAGTAACGAGGGACACCTCAGTAATCTCTTCGAGGACTGGCAGGGCACGAGGGATGCTTCTCGAGGTGAGCAGTGCACCCAAGGGCCTTTCCCAGTAGCCACAGAGATTTTGGGATTTCTACCAATATTCACCATGAGTCAGGCTACGTTACCTTTTGAAGCAGTGAACTCCGCGTGCCTCTCGAGGTGTCAACGGAATGTGAGGCATTCCGTCATAATGAGGCAGGTACCTAGGGCTTTCTCTAAGGTCTCCACAGGGGATTCAGACATCCCTTCATATTGGGCGATGAAAGACGAGCTGTATTCAAGCCACTGCAAGGAAACCCGGCCTCCATTCATGTTACGGCTTCTCGCTGTATATCCCACTTGGGGCAGCAAACTCGGGGTCCCTCCCACATACCTATTGCTGAGAGAAGCCTCCTCCTGAGGTGCTTCTGGAAAGTTGGCATACGTCTTGAGCCTAAGCCAGGGAATCAGCTCTGAACTCGAGACGATTTGGGGTGCATGTTGCATTCTTCGAGTTGCTGTGCTGAAGTTGGTGTTCCTCTAGACTTGGGACAGTGTTCTCGGGGCATCTCGGGAGTTGCCTGAAGGAAGTCAAGCCACTGGTAGTTTTTTATGGGGAACGGGGGATGGCTCTGGAGTCAACGCAAGGGAATCGGGCCTCATCTCGAGTTGATTTGGGGCACATGGAGCTGCTTTGCATTTCAGGGGTGACCTCAGTGTCCGTCTAGACTTGTGACAGTGTTCTTGGGGACTGTCTCGAAATCCATTAAGGAATTCGAATCTCCTGACTTGTTTGATGGTGATCACGGAATTGCTCTGCCTGCACTACAGGGGAATCGGGCCTCATCTCGCATCTAGGGGGAAGTCTCATGGTTTTTCTCGAGTTGCGGCGGGGATATGCGGTATGTTCTCGAGTTACGGCGGGGATGGCCTTTCAAAACACATGTTTATTCAGTGATGTCAGGACTCCTGTCTAGTAACGTGGGACACCTCAGGAATCTCTTTGAGGGTTTGCAGGTCACAAGGGACTCTTCTCGAAGTGAGGAAGTGCACCAAAGGACCTTTTCCAGGAGCCACAGGGATTTTGGGATTCCTATCAATATTCTAGATGAGTCAGGCATCGTCACCTTTGGAAGCAGTGAACTCTGCGTGCCTCTCGAGGTGTCAACTTGATGTGAGGCATTCCGTCATAATGAGGCAGGGACCTAGGGCTTTCTCTAAGTTCTCCACAGGGGATTCAGACATACCATCATGTTGGGAGATGAAAGACGAGCCTTATTCAAGCCACTTCAAGGAAACCCTGCCTCCTTTCAAGTTAGGGCTTCTCGCTGTATATCCCACTTGAGGCAGCAAACTCGGGGTCCCTACCACATACCTTTTGCTTAAAGAAGCCTCCCCTTGAGGTGCTTCTGGAAAGTTGGCATACGTCTTGAGGCTAAGCCAGGGAATCAGCTCTCATCTCGAGACGATTTGGGGTACATGGAGCATTCCACGAGTTGCTGTGCTGAAGATGGTGTTCCTCTAGACTTGGGACAGTGTTCTCGGGGCATCTCTGGAGGTGCCTGAAGGGAGTCAAGCCACTGGTCGTGTTGAATGGGGAACGGGGGTTAGCTCTGGAGTCAATGCAGTGGAATCGGGCCTCACCTCGAGTTGATTTGTGGCACATGGAGCTACTTTGCGTTGCTGTGGTAACCTCAGGGTCCATCTAGACTTGTGACAGTGTTCTTGGGGACTCTCTGGAAATCCATTAAGGAATTCGAATATCCAGACTTGTTTGATGCGCATCACGGAATTGCTCTGCATGCACTGCAGGGGAATCGAGCCTCATCTCGCATCTATGGGGAAGTCTCATGGTTTTTCTCGAGTTGCGGCGGGGATATGCGGTATGTTCTCGAGTTAGGGCGGGGATGGCCCTTCAAATCACATGTTTATTCAGTGACATCAGGACTCCTGTCTAGTAACGTGGGACAACTCAGGAAGCTCTTCGAGGCTTGGCAGGGCAAAAGGAATGCTTCTCGAGGTGAGGAAGGGCTCCCAAGGACCCTTTCCAGTAGCCACAGGGATTTTTGGATTCCTATCAATATTCAAGAGGAGACAAGCATCATCACCTTTTGAAGCAGTGAACTCTGCGTGCCTCCCGAGGTGTCAACTTGATGTGAGGCATTCCGTCATAATGAGGCAGGGACCTAGGGCTATCTGTAAGGTCTCCGCAGGGTATTCAGACATCCCTTCATGTTGGGAGATGAAAGACGAGCCTGTATTCAAACCACTGCAAGGAAACCCGGCCTCCTTTCAAGTTAGGGCTTCTCGCTGTATATCCCATTTTAGGCAGCAAACTCGGGGTCCCTACCACATACCTATTGCTTAAAGAAGCCTCCCCTTGAGGTGCTTCTGGAAAGTTGGCATACGTCTTGAGCTTAAGCCAGGGAATCAGCTCTCATCTCGAGACCATTTGGGGTACATGGAGCATTCTTCGAGATGCTGTGCTGAAGTTGGTGTTCCTCTAGACTTGGGACAGTGTTCTCGGGGCATCTCTGGAGTTGCCTGAAGGAAGTCAAGCCACTGGTCGTGTTTAATGGGGAACCGCGGATGGCTCCGGAGTCAACGCAGGGGAATCGGGCCTCATCTCGAGTTGATTTGGGGCACATGGAGCTGCTTTGCATTGCAGGGGTGACCTCAGGGTCCGTCTAGACTTGTGACAGTGTTCTTGGGGACTGTCTCGAGATCCATTAAGCAAGTCGAAGCTTCTGACTTGTTGGATGGGGATCACGGAATTGCTCTGCAGGCCCTGCAGGGGAATCGGGCCTCATCTCGCATCTAGGGGGAAGTCTCATGGTTTTACTCGAGTTGCGGTGGGGACCTGTGGTACATTATCGAGTTACGGGGGGATGGCCCTTCAAAACACGTGTTTATTCAGTGACGTCAGGACTCCTATCTAGTAACGAGGGACACCTCAGGAATCTCATAAGGCTTGGCAGGCCACAAGGGACACTTTTCGAGGTGAGTCAGGCCACCCAAGAACCCTTTCCAGTAGCCACAGTGTTTTTGGGGATTCCTATCAATATTCAAAAGGAGTCAGACATCGTCACCTTTTGAAGCAGTGAACTCCGCGTGCCTCTCGAGGTGTCAACGGGATGTGAGGCTTTCCGTCAAAATGAGGCAGGGACCTAGGGCTTTCTCTGAGAACTCCTCAGGGGATTCAGACATCCCTTCATGTTGTGAGATGATAGACGAGCCTGTATTCAAGCCACTGCAAGGAAACACGGCCTCATTTCAAGTTAGGGCTTCTCGCTGTATATGCCACTTGAGGCAGCAAACTCGGGGTCCCTCCCACATACATATTGCTGAGAGAAGCCTCCCCTTGAGGTGCTTCTGGAAAGTTGGCATACGTCTTGAGCCTAACCCAGGGAATCAGCTCTCATCTCGAGACGATTTGGGGTACACGAAGCATTCTTCGAGTTGCTGTGCTGAAGTTGGTGTTCCTCTAGACTTGGGACAGTGTTCTCGGGGCATGTCTGGAGGTGCCTGAAGGAAGTCAAGCCACTGGTCGTGTTTAATGGGGAACGGGGAATAGCTCTGGAGTCAACGCAGGGGAATTGGGCCTCATCTCGAGTTGATTTGTGGCACATGGAGCTGCTTTGCGTTGTTGGGGTGACCTCAGGGTCCGTCTAGACTTGTGACAGTGTTCTTTGGGACTCTGTTGAGATCCATTAAGCAAGTTGAATCTCATGACTTGTTTGATGGGGATCACGGAATTGCTCTGCATGCACTGCAGGAGAATCGGACTCCACTCACATCTAGGGGGAAGTCTCATGGTTTTTCTCGAGTTGCGGCGGGGAACTGGGGTATGTTCACGAGTTACGGTGGGGATGGCCCTTCAAACACGAGTTTATTCAGTGACGTCAGGACTCCTGTCTAGTAAGGAGGGGCACGTAAGGGATCTCTTCGAGGCTTGGCAGGCCACAAGGGACGCTTCTCGAGGAAAGGCAGGGCACCCAAGGACCCTTTCAAGTAGCCACAGGGATTTTGGGATTCCTATCAATGTTCAAGAATAGTCAGCCTTCGTCACCTTTTGAAGCAGTGAACTCCGCATGCCTCTCGAGGTGTCAACGGGATGTGAGGCATTCCGTCAAAATGAGGCAGGGACCTAGGGCTTTCTCTAAGGTCTCCACAGGAGATTCAGACATCCCTTCATGTTGTGAGATGAAAGACGAACCTGTATTCAAGCCACTGCAAAAAAATCCAGCCTCCTTTCTAATTAGGGCTTCTCGCTGTTTATTCCACTTGAGGCAGCAAACTCGGGGTCCCTCCCACATACCTATTGCTGAGAGAAGCCTCCACTTGAGGTGCTTCCGGAAAGTTGGCATACGTCTTGAGCCTAAGCCAGGGAATCAGCTTTGATCTCGAGAAGATTTGAGGTACACGGAGCATTCCTCGAGTTGCTGTGCTGAGGTTGGTGTTCCTCTAGACTTGGGACAGTGTTCTCGGGGCATCTCTGGAGTTGCCTAAAGGAAGTCAAGCCACTGGTCTTTTTAATGAGGAACGGGGGAAGGCTCTGGGGTCAACGCAGGGGAATCGGGCCTCATCTCCAGTTGATTTGGGGCACATGGAGCTGCTTTGCGTTGCAGGGGTGACCTCAGGGTAAGTCTACACTTGTGACAGTGTCTTGGGGACTGTCTCGAGATCCATTAAGCAAGTCGAAGCTCCTGAATTGATTGATGGGGATCACGGAATTGCTCTGCGTGCACTGCAGGGGAATCGGGCCTCATCTCACATCTAGGGGGAAGTCTCATGGTTTTTTTCGATTTGCGGCGGGGACCTGCGGTATGTTCTCGAGTTACGGCGGGGATTGCCCTTCAAAACTCGTGTTTATTCAGTGACGTCGGGACTCCTGTCTAGTAACGAGGGACACCTCAGTAATCTCTTCGAGGACTGGCAGGGCACGAGGGATGCTTCTCGAGGTGAGCAGTGCACCCAAGGGCCTTTCCCAGTAGCCACAGAGATTTTGGGATTTCTACCAATATTCACCATGAGTCAGGCTACGTTACCTTTTGAAGCAGTGAACTCCGCGTGCCTCTCGAGGTGTCAACGGAATGTGAGGCATTCCGTCATAATGAGGCAGGTACCTAGGGCTTTCTCTAAGGTCTCCACAGGGGATTCAGACATCCCTTCATATTGGGCGATGAAAGACGAGCTGTATTCAAGCCACTGCAAGGAAACCCGGCCTCCATTCATGTTACGGCTTCTCGCTGTATATCCCACTTGGGGCAGCAAACTCGGGGTCCCTCCCACATACCTATTGCTGAGAGAAGCCTCCTCCTGAGGTGCTTCTGGAAAGTTGGCATACGTCTTGAGCCTAAGCCAGGGAATCAGCTCTGAACTCGAGACGATTTGGGGTGCATGTTGCATTCTTCGAGTTGCTGTGCTGAAGTTGGTGTTCCTCTAGACTTGGGACAGTGTTCTCGGGGCATCTCGGGAGTTGCCTGAAGGAAGTCAAGCCACTGGTCGTTTTTTATGGGGAACGGGGGATGGCTCTGGAGTCAACGCAAGGGAATCGGGCCTCATCTCGAGTTGATTTGGGGCACATGGAGCTGCTTTGCATTTCAGGGGTGACCTCAGTGTCCGTCTAGACTTGTGACAGTGTTCTTGGGGACTGTCTCGAAATCCATTAAGGAATTCGAATCTCCTGACTTGTTTGATGGTGATCACGGAATTGCTCTGCCTGCACTACAGGGGAATCGGGCCTCATCTCGCATCTAGGGGGAAGTCTCATGGTTTTTCTCGAGTTGCGGCGGGGATATGCGGTATGTTCTCGAGTTACGGCGGGGATGGCCTTTCAAAACACATGTTTATTCAGTGATGTCAGGACTCCTGTCTAGTAACGTGGGACACCTCAGGAATCTCTTTGAGGGTTTGCAGGGCACAAGGGACTCTTCTCGAAGTGAGGAAGTGCACCAAAGGACCTTTTCCAGTAGCCACAGGGATTTTGGGATTCCTATCAATATTCTAGAGGAGTCAGGCATCGTCACCTTTGGAAGCAGTGAACTCTGCGTGCCTCTCGAGGTGTCAACTTGATGTGAGGCATTCCGTCATAATGAGGCAGGGACCTAGGGCTTTCTCTAAGTTCTCCACAGGGGATTCAGACATACCTTCATGTTGGGAGATGAAAGACGAGCCTTATTCAAGCCACTTCAAGGAAACCCTGCCTCCTTTCAAGTTAGGGCTTCTCGCTGTATATCCCACTTGAGGCAGCAAACTCGGGGTCCCTACCACATACCTTTTGCTTAAAGAAGCCTCCCCTTGAGGTGCTTCTGGAAAGTTGGCATACGTCTTGAGGCTAAGCCAGGGAATCAGCTCTCATCTCGAAACGATTTGGGGTACATGGAGCATTCCACGAGTTGCTGTGCTGAAGTTGGTGTTCCTCTAGACTTGGGACAGTGTTCTCGGGGCATCTCTGGAGGTGCCTGAAGGGAGTCAAGCCACTGGTCGTGTTGAATGGGGAACGGGGGTTAGCTCTGGAGTCAATGCAGTGGAATCGGGCCTCACCTCGAGTTGATTTGTGGCACATGGAGCTACTTTGCGTTGCTGTGGTAACCTCAGGGTCCATCTAGACTTGTGACAGTGTTCTTGGGGACTCTCTGGAAATCCATTAAGGAATTCGAATATCCAGACTTGTTTGATGCGCATCACGGAATTGCTCTGCATGCACTGCAGGGGAATCGAGCCTCATCTCGCATCTATGGGGAAGTCTCATGGTTTTTCTCGAGTTGCGGCGGGGATATGCGGTATGTTCTCGAGTTAGGGCGGGGATGGCCCTTCAAATCACATGTTTATTCAGTGACATCAGGACTCCTGTCTAGTAACGTGGGACAACTCAGGAAGCTCTTCGAGGCTTGGCAGGGCAAAAGGGACGCTTCTCGAGGTGAGGAAGGGCTCCCAAGGACCCTTTCCAGTAGCCACAGGGATTTTTGGATTCCTATCAATATTCAAGAGGAGACAGGCATCATCACCTTTTGAAGCAGTGAACTCTGCGTGCCTCCCGAGGTGTCAACTTGATGTGAGGCATTCCGTCATAATGAGGCAGGGACCTAGGGCTATCTGTAAGGTCTCCGCAGGGTATTCAGACATCCCTTCATGTTGGGAGATGAAAGACGAGCCTGTATTCAAGCCACTGCAAGGAAACCCGGCCTCCTTTCAAGTTAGGGCTTCTCGCTGTATATCCCATTTTAGGCAGCAAACTCGGGGTCCCTACCACATACCTATTGCTTAAAGAAGCCTCCCCTTGAGGTGCTTCTGGAAAGTTGGCATACGTCTTGAGCTTAAGCCAGGGAATCAGCTCTCATCTCGAGACCATTTGGGGTACATGGAGCATTCTTCGAGATGCTGTGCTGAAGTTGGTGTTCCTCTAGACTTGGGACAGTGTTCTCGGGGCATCTCTGGAGTTGCCTGAAGGAAGTCAAGCCACTGGTCGTGTTTAATGGGGAACCGCGGATGGCTCCGGAGTCAACGCAGGGGAATCGGGCCTCATCTCGAGTTGATTTGGGGCACATGGAGCTGCTTTGCATTGCAGGGGTGACCTCAGGGTCCGTCTAGACTTGTGACAGTGTTCTTGGGGACTGTCTCGAGATCCATTAAGCAAGTCGAAGCTTCTGACTTGTTGGATGGGGATCACGGAATTGCTCTGCATGCCCTGCAGGGGAATCGTGCCTCATCTCGCATCTAGGGGGAAGTCTCATGGTTTTACTCGAGTTGCGGTGGGGACCTGTGGTACATTATCGAGTTACGGGGGGATGGCCCTTCAAAACACGTGTTTATTCAGTGACGTCAGGACTCCTATCTAGTAACGAGGGACACCTCAGGAATCTCATAAGGCTTGGCAGGCCACAAGGGACACATTTCGAGGTGAGTCAGGCCACCAAAGAACCCTTTCCAGTAGCCACAGTGTTTTTGGGGATTCCTATCAATATTCAAGAGGAGTCAGACATCGTCACCTTTTGAAGCAGTGAACTCCGCGTGCCTCTCGAGGTGTCAACGGGATGTGAGGCTTTCCGTCAAAATGAGGCAGGGACCTAGGGCTTTCTCTGAGAACTCCTCAGGGGATTCAGACATCCCTTCATGTTGTGAGATGATAGACGAGCCTGTATTCAAGCCACTGCAAGGAAACACGGCCTCATTTCAAGTTAGGGCTTCTCGCTGTATATGCCACTTGAGGCAGCAAACTCGGGGTCCCTCCCACATACATATTGCTGAGAGAAGCCTCCCCTTGAGGTGCTTCTGGAAAGTTGGCATACGTCTTGAGCCTAACCCAGGGAATCAGCTCTCATCTCGAGACGATTTGGGGTACACGAGGCATTCTTCGAGTTGCTGTGCTGAAGTTGGTGTTCCTCTAGACTTGGGACAGTGTTCTCGGGGCATGTCTGGAGGTGCCTGAAGGAAGTCAAGCCACTGGTCGTGTTTAATGGGGAACGGGGAATAGCTCTGGAGTCAACGCAGGGGAATTGGGCCTCATCTCGAGTTGATTTGTGGCACATGGAGCTGCTTTGCGTTGTTGGGGTGACCTCAGGGTCCGTCTAGACTTGTGACAGTGTTCTTTGGGACTCTGTTGAGATCCATTAAGCAAGTTGAATCTCATGACTTGTTTGATGGGGATCACGGAATTGCTCTGCATGCACTGCAGGAGAATCGGACTCCACTCACATCTAGGGGGAAGTCTCATGGTTTTTCTCGAGTTGCGGCGGGGAACTGGGGTATGTTCACGAGTTACGGTGGGGATGGCCCTTCAAACACGAGTTTATTCAGTGACGTCAGGACTCCTGTCTAGTAAGGAGGGACACGTAAGGGATCTCTTCGAGGCTTGGCAGGGCCACAAGGGACGCTTCTCGAGGAAAGGCAGGGCACCCAAGGACCCTTTCAAGTAGCCACAGGGATTTTGGGATTCCTATCAATGTTCAAGAATAGTCAGCCTTCGTCACCTTTTGAAGCAGTGAACTCCGCGTGCCTCTCGAGGTGTCAACGGGATGTGAGGCATTCCGTCAAAATGAGGCAGGGACCTAGGGCTTTCTCTAAGGTCTCCACAGGAGATTCAGACATCCCTTCATGTTGTGAGATGAAAGACGAACCTGTATTCAAGCCACTGCAAAAAAATCCAGCCTCCTTTCTAATTAGGGCTTCTCGCTGTTTATTCCACTTGAGGCAGCAAACTCGGGGTCCCTCCCACATACCTATTGCTGAGAGAAGCCTCCACTTGAGGTGCTTCCGGAAAGTTGGCATACGTCTTGAGCCTAAGCCAGGGAATCAGCTTTGATCTCGAGAAGATTTGAGGTACACGGAGCATTCCTCGAGTTGCTGTGCTGAGGTTGGTGTTCCTCTAGACTTGGGACAGTGTTCTCGGGGCATCTCTGGAGTTGCCTAAAGGAAGTCAAGCCACTGGTCTTTTTAATGAGGAACGGGGGAAGGCTCTGGGGTCAACGCAGGGGAATCGGGCCTCATCTCCAGTTGATTTGGGGCACATGGAGCTGCTTTGCGTTGCAGGGGTGACCTCAGGGTAAGTCTACACTTGTGACAGTGTCTTGGGGACTGTCTCGAGATCCATTAAGCAAGTCGAAGCTCCTGAATTGATTGATGGGGATCACGGAATTGCTCTGCGTGCACTGCAGGGGAATCGGGCCTCATCTCACATCTAGGGGGAAGTCTCATGGTTTTTTTCGATTTGCGGCGGGACCTGCGGTATGTTCTCGAGTTACGGCGGGGATTGCCCTTCAAAACTCGTGTTTATTCAGTGACGTCAGGACTCCTGTCTAGTAACGAGGGACACCTCAGTAATCTCTTCGAGGACTGGCAGGGCACGAGGGATGCTTCTCGAGGTGAGCAGTGCACCCAAGGGCCTTTCCCAGTAGCCACAGAGATTTTGGGATTTCTACCAATATTCACCATGAGTCAGGCTACGTTACCTTTTGAAGCAGTGAACTCCGCGTGCCTCTCGAGGTGTCAACGGAATGTGAGGCATTCCGTCATAATGAGGCAGGTACCTAGGGCTTTCTCTAAGGTCTCCACAGGGGATTCAGACATCCCTTCATATTGGGCGATGAAAGACGAGCTGTATTCAAGCCACTGCAAGGAAACCCGGCCTCCATTCATGTTACGGCTTCTCGCTGTATATCCCACTTGGGGCAGCAAACTCGGGGTCCCTCCCACATACCTATTGCTGAGAGAAGCCTCCTCCTGAGGTGCTTCTGGAAAGTTGGCATACGTCTTGAGCCTAAGCCAGGGAATCAGCTCTGAACTCGAGACGATTTGGGGTGCATGTTGCATTCTTCGAGTTGCTGTGCTGAAGTTGGTGTTCCTCTAGACTTGGGACAGTGTTCTCGGGGCATCTCGGGAGTTGCCTGAAGGAAGTCAAGCCACTGGTAGTTTTTTATGGGGAACGGGGGATGGCTCTGGAGTCAACGCAAGGGAATCGGGCCTCATCTCGAGTTGATTTGGGGCACATGGAGCTGCTTTGCATTTCAGGGGTGACCTCAGTGTCCGTCTAGACTTGTGACAGTGTTCTTGGGGACTGTCTCGAAATCCATTAAGGAATTCGAATCTCCTGACTTGTTTGATGGTGATCACGGAATTGCTCTGCCTGCACTACAGGGGAATCGGGCCTCATCTCGCATCTAGGGGGAAGTCTCATGGTTTTTCTCGAGTTGCGGCGGGGATATGCGGTATGTTCTCGAGTTACGGCGGGGATGGCCTTTCAAAACACATGTTTATTCAGTGATGTCAGGACTCCTGTCTAGTAACGTGGGACACCTCAGGAATCTCTTTGAGGGTTTGCAGGTCACAAGGGACTCTTCTCGAAGTGAGGAAGTGCACCAAAGGACCTTTTCCAGGAGCCACAGGGATTTTGGGATTCCTATCAATATTCTAGATGAGTCAGGCATCGTCACCTTTGGAAGCAGTGAACTCTGCGTGCCTCTCGAGGTGTCAACTTGATGTGAGGCATTCCGTCATAATGAGGCAGGGACCTAGGGCTTTCTCTAAGTTCTCCACAGGGGATTCAGACATACCATCATGTTGGGAGATGAAAGACGAGCCTTATTCAAGCCACTTCAAGGAAACCCTGCCTCCTTTCAAGTTAGGGCTTCTCGCTGTATATCCCACTTGAGGCAGCAAACTCGGGGTCCCTACCACATACCTTTTGCTTAAAGAAGCCTCCCCTTGAGGTGCTTCTGGAAAGTTGGCATACGTCTTGAGGCTAAGCCAGGGAATCAGCTCTCATCTCGAGACGATTTGGGGTACATGGAGCATTCCACGAGTTGCTGTGCTGAAGATGGTGTTCCTCTAGACTTGGGACAGTGTTCTCGGGGCATCTCTGGAGGTGCCTGAAGGGAGTCAAGCCACTGGTCGTGTTGAATGGGGAACGGGGGTTAGCTCTGGAGTCAATGCAGTGGAATCGGGCCTCACCTCGAGTTGATTTGTGGCACATGGAGCTACTTTGCGTTGCTGTGGTAACCTCAGGGTCCATCTAGACTTGTGACAGTGTTCTTGGGGACTCTCTGGAAATCCATTAAGGAATTCGAATATCCAGACTTGTTTGATGCGCATCACGGAATTGCTCTGCATGCACTGCAGGGGAATCGAGCCTCATCTCGCATCTATGGGGAAGTCTCATGGTTTTTCTCGAGTTGCGGCGGGGATATGCGGTATGTTCTCGAGTTAGGGCGGGGATGGCCCTTCAAATCACATGTTTATTCAGTGACATCAGGACTCCTGTCTAGTAACGTGGAACAACTCAGGAAGCTCTTCGAGGCTTGGCAGGGCAAAAGGGACGCTTCTCGAGGTGAGGAAGGGCTCCCAAGGACCCTTTCCAGTAGCCACAGGGATTTTTGGATTCCTATCAATATTCAAGAGGAGACAGGCATCATCACCTTTTGAAGCAGTGAACTCTGCGTGCCTCCCGAGGTGTCAACTTGATGTGAGGCATTCCGTCATAATGAGGCAGGGACCTAGGGCTATCTGTAAGGTCTCCGCAGGGTATTCAGACATCCCTTCATGTTGGGAGATGAAAGACGAGCCTGTATTCAAGCCACTGCAAGGAAACCCGGCCTCCTTTCAAGTTAGGGCTTCTCGCTGTATATCCCATTTTAGGCAGCAAACTCGGGGTCCCTACCACATACCTATTGCTTAAAGAAGCCTCGCCTTGAGGTGCTTCTGGAAAGTTGGCATACGTCTTGAGCTTAAGCCAGGGAATCAGCTCTCATCTCGAGACCATTTGGGGTACATGGAGCATTCTTCGAGATGCTGTGCTGAAGTTGGTGTTCCTCTAGACTTGGGACAGTGTTCTCGGGGCATCTCTGGAGTTGCCTGAAGGAAGTCAAGCCACTGGTCGTGTTTAATGGGGAACCGCGGATGGCTCCGGAGTCAACGCAGGGGAATCGGGCCTCATCTCGAGTTGATTTGGGGCACATGGAGCTGCTTTGCATTGCAGGGGTGACCTCAGGGTCCGTCTAGACTTGTGACAGTGTTCTTGGGGACTGTCTCGAGATCCATTAAGCAAGTCGAAGCTTCTGACTTGTTTGATGGGGATCACGGAATTGCTCTGCATGCCCTGCAGGGGAATCGGGCCTCATCTCGCATCTAGGGGGAAGTCTCATGGTTTTACTCGAGTTGCGGTGGGGACCTGTGGTACATTATCGAGTTACGGGGGGATGGCCCTTCAAAACACGTGTTTATTCAGTGACGTCAGGACTCCTATCTAGTAACGAGGGACACCTCAGGAATCTCATAAGGCTTGGCAGGCCACAAGGGACACTTTTCGAGGTGAGTCAGGCCACCCAAGAACCCTTTCCAGTAGCCACAGTGTTTTTGGGGATTCCTATCAATATTCAAGAGGAGTCAGACATCGTCACCTTTTGAAGCAGTGAACTCCGCGTGCCTCTCGAGGTGTCAACGGGATGTGAGGCTTTCCGTCAAAATGAGGCAGGGACCTAGGGCTTTCTCTGAGAACTCCTCAGGGGATTCAGACATCCCTTCATGTTGTGAGATGATAGACGAGCCTGTATTCAAGCCACTGCAAGGAAACACGGCCTCATTTCAAGTTAGGGCTTCTCGCTGTATATGCCACTTGAGGCAGCAAACTCGGGGTCCCTCCCACATACATATTGCTGAGAGAAGCCTCCCCTTGAGGTGCTTCTGGAAAGTTGGCATACGTCTTGAGCCTAACCCAGGGAATCAGCTCTCATCTCGAGACGATTTGGGGTACACGAGGCATTCTTCGAGTTGCTGTGCTGAAGTTGGTGTTCCTCTAGACTTGGGACAGTGTTCTCGGGGCATGTCTGGAGGTGCCTGAAGGAAGTCAAGCCACTGGTCGTGTTTAATGGGGAACGGGGAATAGCTCTGGAGTCAACGCAGGGGAATTGGGCCTCATCTCGAGTTGATTTGTGGCACATGGAGCTGCTTTGCGTTGTTGGGGTGACCTCAGGGTCCGTCTAGACTTGTGACAGTGTTCTTTGGGACTCTGTTGAGATCCATTAAGCAAGTTGAATCTCATGACTTGTTTGATGGGGATCACGGAATTGCTCTGCATGCACTGCAGGAGAATCGGACTCCACTCACATCTAGGGGGAAGTCTCATGGTTTTTCTCGAGTTGCGGCGGGGAACTGGGGTATGTTCACGAGTTACGGTGGGGATGGCCCTTCAAACACGAGTTTATTCAGTGACGTCAGGACTCCTGTCTAGTAAGGAGGGACACGTAAGGGATCTCTTCGAGGCTTGGCAGGGCCACAAGGGACGCTTCTCGAGGAAAGGCAGGGCACCCAAGGACCCTTTCAAGTAGCCACAGGGATTTTGGGATTCCTATCAATGTTCAAGAATAGTCAGCCTTCGTCACCTTTTGAAGCAGTGAACTCCGCGTGCCTCTCGAGGTGTCAACGGGATGTGAGGCATTCCGTCAAAATGAGGCAGGGACCTAGGGCTTTCTCTAAGGTCTCCACAGGAGATTCAGACATCCCTTCATGTTGTGAGATGAAAGACGAACCTGTATTCAAGCCACTGCAAAAAAATCCAGCCTCCTTTCTAATTAGGGCTTCTCGCTGTTTATTCCACTTGAGGCAGCAAACTCGGGGTCCCTCCCACATACCTATTGCTGAGAGAAGCCTCCACTTGAGGTGCTTCCGGAAAGTTGGCATACGTCTTGAGCCTAAGCCAGGGAATCAGCTTTGATCTCGAGAAGATTTGAGGTACACGGAGCATTCCTCGAGTTGCTGTGCTGAGGTTGGTGTTCCTCTAGACTTGGGACAGTGTTCTCGGGGCATCTCTGGAGTTGCCTAAAGGAAGTCAAGCCACTGGTCTTTTTAATGAGGAACGGGGGAAGGCTCTGGGGTCAACGCAGGGGAATCGGGCCTCATCTCCAGTTGATTTGGGGCACATGGAGCTGCTTTGCGTTGCAGGGGTGACCTCAGGGTAAGTCTACACTTGTGACAGTGTCTTGGGGACTGTCTCGAGATCCATTAAGCAAGTCGAAGCTCCTGAATTGATTGGTGGGGATCACGGAATTGCTCTGCGTGCACTGCAGGGGAATCGGGCCTCATCTCACATCTAGGGGGAAGTCTCATGTTTTTTTTCGATTTGCGGCGGGGACCTGCGGTATGTTCTCGAGTTACGGCGGGGATGGCCTTTCAAAACACATGTTTATTCAGTGATGTCAGGACTGCTGTCTAGTAACGTGGGACACCTCAGGAATCTCTTTGAGGGTTTGCAGGTCACAAGGGACTCTTCTCGAAGTGAGGAAGTGCACCAAAGGACCTTTTCCAGTAGCCACAGGGATTTTGGGATTCCTATCAATATTCTAGAGGAGTCAGGCATCGTCACCTTTGGAAGCAGTGAACTCTGCGTGCCTCTCGAGGTGTCAACTTGATGTGAGGCATTCCGTCATAATGAGGCAGGGACCTAGGGCTTTCTCTAAGTTCTCCACAGGGGATTCAGACATACCTTCATGTTGGGAGATGAAAGACGAGCCTTATTCAAGCCACTTCAAGGAAACCCTGCCTCCTTTCAAGTTAGGGCTTCTCGCTGTATATCCCACTTGAGGCAGCAAACTCGGGGTCCCTACCACATACCTTTTGCTTAAAGAAGCCTCCCCTTGAGGTGCTTCTGGAAAGTTGGCATACGTCTGAGGCTAAGCCAGGGAATCAGCTCTCATCTCGAGACGATTTGGGGTACATGGAGCATTCCACGAGTTGCTGTGCTGAAGATGGTGTTCCTCTAGACTTGGGACAGTGTTCTCGGGGCATCTCTGGAGGTGCCTGAAGGGAGTCAAGCCACTGGTCGTGTTGAATGGGGAACGGGGGTTAGCTCTGGAGTCAATGCAGTGGAATCGGGCCTCACCTCGAGTTGATTTGTGGCACATGGAGCTACTTTGCGTTGCTGTGGTAACCTCAGGGTCCATCTAGACTTGTGACAGTGTTCTTGGGGACTCTCTGGAAATCCATTAAGGAATTCGAATATCCAGACTTGTTTGATGCGGATCACTGAATTTCTCTGCATGCACTGCAGGGGAATCGAGCCTCATCTCGCATCTATGGGGAAGTCTCATGGTTTTTCTCGAGTTGCGGCGGGGATATGCGGTATGTTCTCGAGTTAGGGCGGGGATGGCCCTTCAAATCACATGTTTATTCAGTGACATCAGGACTCCTGTCTAGTAACGTGGGACAACTCAGGAAGCTCTTCGAGGCTTGGCAGGGCAAAAGGGACGCTTCTCGAGGTGAGGAAGGGCTCCCAAGGACCCTTTCCAGTAGACACAGGGATTTTTGGATTCCTATCAATATTCAAGAGGAGACAGGCATCATCACCTTTTGAAGCAGTGAACTCTGCGTGCCTCCCGAGGTGTCAACTTGATGTGAGGCATTCCGTCATAATGAGGCAGGGACCTAGGGCTATCTGTAAGGTCTCCGCAGGGTATTCAGACATCCCTTCATGTTGGGAGATGAAAGACGAGCCTGTATTCAAGCCACTGCAAGGAAACCCGGCCTCCTTTCAAGTTAGGGCTTCTCGCTGTATATCCCATTTTAGGCAGCAAACTCGGGGTCCCTACCACATACCTATTGCTTAAAGAAGCCTCCCATTGAGGTGCTTCTGGAAAGTTGGCATACGTCTTGAGCTTAAGCCAGGGAATCAGCTCTCATCTCGAGACCATTTGGGGTACATGGAGCATTCTTCGAGATGCTGTGCTGAAGTTGGTGTTCCTCTAGACTTGGGACAGTGTTCTCGGGGCATCTCTGGAGTTGCCTGAAGGAAATCAAGCCACTGGTCGTGTTTAATGGGGAACCGCGGATGGCTCCGGAGTCAACGCAGGGGAATCGGGCCTCATCTCGAGTTGATTTGGGGCACATGGAGCTGCTTTGCATTGCAGGGGTGACCTCAGGGTCCGTCTAGACTTGTGACAGTGTTCTTGGGGACTGTCTCGAGATCCATTAAGCAAGTCGAAGCTTCTGACTTGTTTGATGGGGATCACGGAATTGCTCTGCATGCCCTGCAGGGGAATCGTGCCTCATCTCGCATCTAGGGGGAAGTCTCATGGTTTTACTCGAGTTGCGGTGGGGACCTGTGGTACATTATCGAGTTACGGGGGGATGGCCCTTCAAAACACGTGTTTATTCAGTGACGTCAGGACTCCTATCTAGTAACGAGGGACACCTCAGGAATCTCATAAGGCTTGGCAGGCCACAAGGGACACTTTTCGAGGTGAGTCAGGCCACCCAAGAACCCTTTCCAGTAGCCACAGTGTTTTTGGGGATTCCTATCAATATTCAAGAGGAGTCAGACATCGTCACCTTTTGAAGCAGTGAACTCCGCGTGCCTCTCGAGGTGTCAACGGGATGTGAGGCTTTCCGTCAAAATGAGGCAGGGACCTAGGGCTTTCTCTGAGAACTCCTCAGGGGATTCAGACATCCCTTCATGTTGTGAGATGATAGACGAGCCTGTATTCAAGCCACTGCAAGGAAACACGGCCTCATTTCAAGTTAGGGCTTCTCGCTGTATATGCCACTTGAGGCAGCAAACTCGGGGTCCCTCCCACATACATATTGCTGAGAGAAGCCTCCCCTTGAGGTGCTTCTGGAAAGTTGGCATACGTCTTGAGCCTAACCCAGGGAATCAGCTCTCATCTCGAGACGATTTGGGGTACACGAGGCATTCTTCGAGTTCCTGTGCTGAAGTTGGTGTTCCTCTAGACTTGGGACAGTGTTCTCGGGGCATGTCTGGAGGTGCCTGAATGAAGTCAAGCCACTGGTCGTGTTTAATGGGGAACGGGGAATAGCTCTGGAGTCAACGCAGGGGAATCGGGCCTCATCTCGAGTTGATTTGTGGCACATGGAGCTTCTTTGCGTTGTTGGGGTGACCTCAGGGTCCGTCTAGACTTGTGACAGTGTTCTTCGGGACTCTGTTGAGATCCATTAAGCAAGTTGAATCTCATGACTTGTTTGATGGGGATCACGGAATTGCTCTGCCTGCACTGCAGGAGAATCGGACTCCACTCACATCTAGGGGGAAGTCTCATGGTTTTTCTCGAGTTGCGGCGGGGAACTGGGGTATGTTCACGAGTTACGGTGGGGATGGCCCTTCAAACACGAGTTTATTCAGTGACGTCAGGACTCCTGTCTAGTAAGGAGGGACACGTAAGGGATCTCTTCGAGGCTTGGCAGGCCACAAGGGACGCTTCTCGAGGAAAGGCAGGGCACCCAAGGACCCTTTCAAGTAGCCACAGGGATTTTGGGATTCCTATCAATGTTCAAGAATAGTCAGCCTTCGTCACCTTTTGAAGCAGTGAACTCCGCGTGCCTCTCGAGGTGTCAACGGGATGTGAGGCATTCCGTCAAAATGAGGCAGGGACCTAGGGCTTTCTCTAAGGTCTCCACAGGAGATTCAGACATCCCTTCATGTTGTGAGATGAAAGACGAACCTGTATTCAAGCCACTGCAAGAAAATCCAGCCTCCTTTCTAATTAGGGCTTCTCGCTGTTTATTCCACTTGAGGCAGCAAACTCGGGGTCCCTCCCACATACCTATTGCTGAGAGAAGCCTCCACTTGAGGTGCTTCCGGAAAGTTGGCATACGTCTTGAGCCTAAGCCAGGGAATCAGCTTTGATCTCGAGAAGATTTGAGGTACACGGAGCATTCCTCGAGTTGCTGTGCTGAGGTTGGTGTTCCTCTAGACTTGGGACAGTGTTCTCGGGGCATCTCTGGAGTTGCCTAAAGGAAGTCAAGCCACTGGTCTTTTTAATGAGGAACGGGGGAAGGCTCTGGGGTCAACGCAGGGGAATCGGGCCTCATCTCCAGTTGATTTGGGGCACATGGAGCTGCTTTGCGTTGCAGGGGTGACCTCAGGGTAAGTCTACACTTGTGACAGTGTCTTGGGGACTGTCTCGAGATCCATTAAGCAAGTCGAAGCTCCTGAATTGATTGATGGGGATCACGGAATTGCTCTGCGTGCACTGCAGGGGAATCGGGCCTCATCTCACATCTAGGGGGAAGTCTCATGGTTTTTTTCGATTTGCGGTGGGGACCTGCGGTATGTTCTCGAGTTACGGCGGGGATTGCCCTTCAAAACTCGTGTTTATTCAGTGACGTCAGGACTCCTGTCTAGTAACGAGGGACACCTCAGTAATCTCTTCGAGGACTGGCAGGGCACGAGGGATGCTTCTCGAGGTGAGCAGTGCACCCAAGGGCCTTTCCCAGTAGCCACAGAGATTTTGGGATTTCTACCAATATTCACCATGAGTCAGGCTACGTTACCTTTTGAAGCAGTGAACTCCGCGTGCCTCTCGAGGTGTCAACGGAATGTGAGGCATTCCGTCATAATGAGGCAGGTACCTAGGGCTTTCTCTAAGGTCTCCACAGGGGATTCAGACATCCCTTCATATTGGGCGATGAAAGACGAGCTGTATTCAAGCCACTGCAAGGAAACCCGGCCTCCATTCATGTTACGGCTTCTCGCTGTATATCCCACTTGGGGCAGCAAACTCGGGGTCCCTCCCACATACCTATTGCTGAGAGAAGCCTCCTCCTGAGGTGCTTCTGGAAAGTTGGCATACGTCTTGAGCCTAAGCCAGGGAATCAGCTCTGAACTCGAGACGATTTGGGGTGCATGTTGCATTCTTCGAGTTGCTGTGCTGAAGTTGGTGTTCCTCTAGACTTGGGACAGTGTTCTCGGGGCATCTCGGGAGTTGCCTGAAGGAAGTCAAGCCACTGGTCGTTTTTTATGGGGAACGGGGGATGGCTCTGGAGTCAACGCAAGGGAATCGGGCCTCATCTCGAGTTGATTTGGGGCACATGGAGCTGCTTTGCATTTCAGGGGTGACCTCAGTGTCCGTCTAGACTTGTGACAGTGTTCTTGGGGACTGTCTCGAAATCCATTAAGGAATTCGAATCTCCTGACTTGTTTGATGGTGATCACGGAATTGCTCTGCCTGCACTACAGGGGAATCGGGCCTCATCTCGCATCTAGGGGGAAGTCTCATGGTTTTTCTCGAGTTGCGGCGGGGATATGCGGTATGTTCTCGAGTTACGGCGGGGATGGCCTTTCAAAACACATGTTTATTCAGTGATGTCAGGACTCCTGTCTAGTAACGGGGGACACCTCAGGAATCTCTTTGAGGGTTTGCAGGGCACAAGGGACTCTTCTCGAAGTGAGGAAGTGCACCAAAGGACGTTTTCCAGTAGCCACAGGGATTTTGGGATTCCTATCAATATTCTAGAGGAGTCAGGCATCGTCACCTTTGGAAGCAGTGAACTCTGCGTGCCTCTCGAGGTGTCAACTTGATGTGAGGCATTCCGTCATAATGAGGCAGGGACCTAGGGCTTTCTCTAAGTTCTCCACAGGGGATTCAGACATCCCTTCATGTTGGGAGATGAAAGACGAGCCTTATTCAAGCCACTTCAAGGAAACCCGGCCTCCTTTCAAGTTAGGGCTTCTCGCTGTATATCCCACTTGAGGCAGCAAACTCGGGGTCCCTACCACATACCTATTGCTTAAAGAAGCCTCCCCTTGAGGTGCTTCTGGAAAGTTGGCATACGTCTTGAGCTTAAGCCAGGGAATCAGCTCTCATCTCGAGACCATTTGGGGTACATGGAGCATTCTTCGAGATGCTGTGCTGAAGTTGGTGTTCCTCTAGACTTGGGACAGTGTTCTCGGGGCATCTCTGGAGTTGCCTGAAGGAAGTCAAGCCACTGGTCGTGTTTAATGGGGAACCGCGGATGGCTCCGGAGTCAACGCAGGGGAATCGGGCCTCATCTCGAGTTGATTTGGGGCACATGGAGCTGCTTTGCATTGCAGGGGTGACCTCAGGGTCCGTCTAGACTTGTGACAGTGTTCTTGGGGACTGTCTCGAGATCCATTAAGCAAGTCGAAGCTTCTGACTTGTTTGATGGGGATCACGGAATTGCTCTGCATGCCCTGCAGGGGAATCGTGCCTCATCTCGCATCTAGGGGGAAGTCTCATGGTTTTACTCGAGTTGCGGTGGGGACCTGTGGTACATTATCGAGTTACGGGGGGATGGCCCTTCAAAACACGTGTTTATTCAGTGACGTCAGGACTCCTATCTAGTAACGAGGGACACCTCAGGAATCTCATAAGGCTTGGCAGGCCACAAGGGACACTTTTCGAGGTGAGTCAGGCCACCCAAGAACCCTTTCCAGTAGCCACAGTGTTTTTGGGGATTCCTATCAATATTCAAGAGGAGTCAGACATCGTCACCTTTTGAAGCAGTGAACTCCGCGTGCCTCTCGAGGTGTCAACGGGATGTGAGGCTTTCCGTCAAAATGAGGCAGGGACCTAGGGCTTTCTCTGAGAACTCCTCAGGGGATTCAGACATCCCTTCATGTTGTGAGATGATAGACGAGCCTGTATTCAAGCCACTGCAAGGAAACACGGCCTCATTTCAAGTTAGGGCTTCTCGCTGTATATGCCACTTGAGGCAGCAAACTCGGGGTCCCTCCCACATACATATTGCTGAGAGAAGCCTCCCCTTGAGGTGCTTCTGGAAAGTTGGCATACGTCTTGAGCCTAACCCAGGGAATCAGCTCTCATCTCGAGACGATTTGGGGTACACGAGGCATTCTTCGAGTTGCTGTGCTGAAGTTGGTGTTCCTCTAGACTTGGGACAGTGTTCTCGGGGCATGTCTGGAGGTGCCTGAAGGAAGTCAAGCCACTGGTCGTGTTTAATGGGGAACGGGGAATAGCTCTGGAGTCAACGCAGGGGAATTGGGCCTCATCTCGAGTTGATTTGTGGCACATGGAGCTGCTTTGCGTTGTTGGGGTGACCTCAGGGTCCGTCTAGACTTGTGACAGTGTTCTTCGGGACTCTGTTGAGATCCATTAAGCAAGTTGAATCTCATGACTTGTTTGATGGGGATCACGGAATTGCTCTGCATGCACTGCAGGAGAATCGGACTCCACTCACATCTAGGGGGAAGTCTCATGGTTTTTCTCGAGTTGCGGCGGGGAACTGGGTTATGTTCACGAGTTACGGTGGGGATGGCCCTTCAAACACGAGTTTATTCAGTGACGTCAGGACTCCTGTCTAGTAAGGAGGGACATGTAAGGGATCTCTTCGAGGCTTGGCAGGCCACATGGGACGCTTCTCGAGGAAAGGCAGGGCACCCAAGGACCCTTTCAAGTAGCCACAGGGATTTTGGGATTCCTATCAATGTTCAAGAATAGTCAGCCTTCGTCACCTTTTGAAGCAGTGAACTCCGCTTGCCTCTCGAGGTGTCAACGGGATGTGAGGCATTCCGTCAAAATGAGGCAGGGACCTAGGGCTTTCTCTAAGGTCTCCACAGGAGATTCAGACATCCCTTCATGTTGTGAGATGAAAGACGAACCTGTATTCAAGCCACTGCAAAAAAATCCAGCCTCCTTTCTAATTAGGGCTTCTCGCTGTTTATTCCACTTGAGGCAGCAAACTCGGGGTCCCTCCCACATACCTATTGCTGAGAGAAGCCTCCACTTGAGGTGCTTCCGGAAAGTTGGCATACGTCTTGAGCCTAAGCCAGGGAATCAGCTTTGATCTCGAGAAGATTTGAGGTACACGGAGCATTCCTCGAGTTGCTGTGCTGAGGTTGGTGTTCCTCTAGACTTGGGACAGTGTTCTCGGGGCATCTCTGGAGTTGCCTAAAGGAAGTCAAGCCACTGGTCTTTTTAATGAGGAACGGGGGAAGGCTCTGGGGTCAACGCAGGGGAATCGGGCCTCATCTCCAGTTGATTTGGGGCACATGGAGCTGCTTTGCGTTGCAGGGGTGACCTCAGGGTAAGTCTACACTTGTGACAGTGTCTTGGGGACTGTCTCGAGATCCATTAAGCAAGTCGAAGCTCCTGAATTGATTGGTGGGGATCACGGAATTGCTCTGCGTGCACTGCAGGGGAATCGGGCCTCATCTCACATCTAGGGGGAAGTCTCATGTTTTTTTTCGATTTGCGGCGGGGACCTGCGGTATGTTCTCGAGTTACGGCGGGGATTGCCCTTCAAAACTCGTGTTTATTCAGTGACGTCAGGACTCCTGTCTAGTAACGAGGGACACCTCAGTAATCTCTTCGAGGACTGGCAGGGCACGAGGGATGCTTCTCGAGGTGAGCAGTGCACCCAAGGGCCTTTCCCAGTAGCCACAGAGATTTTGGGATTTCTACCAATATTCACCATGAGTCAGGCTACGTTACCTTTTGAAGCAGTGAACTCCGCGTGCCTCTCGAGGTGTCAACGGAATGTGAGGCATTCCGTCATAATGAGGCAGGTACCTAGGGCTTTCTCTAAGGTCTCCACAGGGGATTCAGACATCCCTTCATATTGGGCGATGAAAGACGAGCTGTATTCAAGCCACTGCAAGGAAACCCGGCCTCCATTCATGTTACGGCTTCTCGCTGTATATCCCACTTGGGGCAGCAAACTCGGGGTCCCTCCCACATACCTATTGCTGAGAGAAGCCTCCTCCTGAGGTGCTTCTGGAAAGTTGGCATACGTCTTGAGCCTAAGCCAGGGAATCAGCTCTGAACTCGAGACGATTTGGGGTGCATGTTGCATTCTTCGAGTTGCTGTGCTGAAGTTGGTGTTCCTCTAGACTTGGGACAGTGTTCTCGGGGCATCTCGGGAGTTGCCTGAAGGAAGTCAAGCCACTGGTCGTTTTTTATGGGGAACGGGGGATGGCTCTGGAGTCAATGCAAGGGAATCGGGCCTCATCTCGAGTTGATTTGGGGCACATGGAGCTGCTTTGCATTTCAGGGGTGACCTCAGTGTCCGTCTAGACTTGTTACAGTGTTCTTGGGGACTGTCTCGAAATCCATTAATGAATTCGAATCTCCTGACTTGTTTGATGGTGATCACGGAATTGCTCTGCCTGCACTACAGGGGAATCGGGCCTCATCTCGCATCTAGGGGGAAGTCTCATGGTTTTTCTCGAGTTGCGGCGGGGATATGCGGTATGTTCTCGAGTTACGGCGGGGATGGCCTTTCAAAACACATGTTTATTCAGTGATGTCAGGACTCCTGTCTAGTAACGTGGGACACCTCAGGAATCTCTTTGAGGGTTTGCAGGGCACAAGGGACTCTTCTCGAAGTGAGGAAGTGCACCAAAGGACCTTTTCCAGTAGCCACAGGGATTTTGGGATTCCTATCAATATTCTAGAGGAGTCAGGCATCGTCACCTTTGGAAGCAGTGAACTCTGCGTGCCTCTCGAGGTGTCAACTTGATGTGAGGCATTCCGTCATAATGAGGCAGGGACCTAGGGCTTTCTCTAAGTTCTCCACAGGGGATTCAGACATACCTTCATGTTGGGAGATGAAAGACGAGCCTTATTCAAGCCACTTCAAGGAAACCCTGCCTCCTTTCAAGTTAGTGCTTCTCGCTGTATATCCCACTTGAGGCAGCAAACTCGGGGTCCCTACCACATACCTTTTGCTTAAAGAAGCCTCCCCTTGAGGTGCTTCTGGAAAGTTGGCATACATCTTGAGGCTAAGCCAGGGAATCAGCTCTCATCTCGAGACGATTTGGGGTACATGGAGCATTCCACGAGTTGCTGTGCTGAAGATGGTGTTCCTCTAGACTTGGGACAGTGTTCTCGGGGCATCTCTGGAGGTGCCTGAAGGGAGTCAAGCCACTGGTCGTGTTGAATGGGGAACGGGGGTTAGCTCTGGAGTCAATGCAGTGGAATCGGGCCTCACCTCGAGTTGATTTGTGGCACATGGAGCTACTTTGCGTTGCTGTGGTAACCTCAGGGTCCATCTAGACTTGTGACAGTGTTCTTGGGGACTCTCTGGAAATCCATTAAGGAATTCGAATATCCAGACTTGTTTGATGCGCATCACGGAATTGCTCTGCATGCACTGCAGGGGAATCGAGCCTCATCTCGCATCTATGGGGAAGTCTCATGGTTTTTCTCGAGTTGCGGCGGGGATATGCGGTATGTTCTCGAGTTAGGGCGGGGATGGCCCTTCAAATCACATGTTTATTCAGTGACATCAGGACTCCTGTCTAGTAACGTGGGACAACTCAGGAAGCTCTTCGAGGCTTGGCAGGGCAAAAGGGATGCTTCTCGAGGTGAGGAAGTGCTCCCAAGGACCCTTTCCAGTAGCCACAGGGATTTTTGGATTCCTATCAATATTCAAGAGGAGACAGGCATCATCACCTTTTGAAGCAGTGAACTCTGCGTGCCTCCCGAGGTGTCAACTTGATGTGAGGCATTCCGTCATAATGAGGCAGGGACCTAGGGCTATCTGTAAGGTCTCCGCAGGGTATTCAGACATCCCTTCATGTTGGGAGATGAAAGACGAGCCTGTATTCAAACCACTGCAAGGAAACCCGGCCTCCTTTCAAGTTAGGGCTTCTCGCTGTATATCCCATTTTAGGCAGCAAACTCGGGGTCCCTACCACATACCTATTGCTTAAAGAAGCCTCCCCTTGAGGTGCTTCTGGAAAGTTGGCATACGTCTTGAGCTTAAGCCAGGGAATCAGCTCTCATCTCGAGACCATTTGGGGTACATGGAGCATTCTTCGAGATGCTGTGCTGAAGTTGGTGTTCCTCTAGACTTGGGACAGTGTTCTCGGGGCATGTCTGGAGGTGCCTGAAGGAAGTCAAGCCACTGGTCGTGTTTAATGGGGAACGGGGAATAGCTCTGGAGTCAACGCAGGGGAATTGGGCCTCATCTCCAGTTGATTTGTGGCACATGGAGCTGCTTTGCGTTGTTGGGGTGACCTCAGGGTCCGTCTAGACTTGTGACAGTGTTCTTCGGGACTCTGTTGAGATCCATTAAGCAAGTTGAATCTCATGACTTGTTTGATGGGGATCACGGAATTGCTCTGCATGCACTGCAGGAGAATCGGACTCCACTCGCATCTAGGGGGAAGTCTCATGGTTTTTCTCGATTTGCGGCGGGGAACTGGGGTATGTTCACGAGTTACGGTGGGGATGGCCCTTCAAACACGAGTTTATTCAGTGACGTCAGGACTCCTGTCTAGTAAGGAGGGACACGTAAGGGATCTCTTCGAGGCTTGGCAGGCCACAAGGCACGCTTCTCGAGGAAAGACAGGGCACCCAAGGACCCTTTCAAGTAGCCACAGGGATTTTGGGATTCCTATCAATGTTCAAGAATAGTCAGCCTTCGTCACCTTTTGAAGCAGTGAACTCCGCGTGCCTCTCGAGGTGTCAACGGGATGTGAGGCATTCCGTCAAAATGAGGCAGGGACCTAGGGCTTTCTCTAAGGTCTCCACAGGAGATTCAGACATCCCTTCATGTTGTGAGATGAAAGACGAACCTGTATTCAAGCCACTGCAAAAAAATCCAGCCTCCTTTCTAATTAGGGCTTCTCGCAGTTTATTCCACTTGAGGCAGCAAACTCGGGGTCCCTCCCACATACCTATTGCTGAGAGCAGCCTCCACTTGAGGTGCTTCCGGAAAGTTGGCATACGTCTTGAGCCTAAGCCAGGGAATCAGCTTTGATCTCGAGAAGATTTGAGGTACACGTAGCATTCCTCGAGTTGCTGTGCTGAGGTTGGTGTTCCTCGAGACTTGGGACAGTGTTCTCGGGGCATCTCTGGAGTTGCCTAAAGGAAGTCAAGCCACTGGTCTTTTTAATGAGGAACGGGGGAAGGCTCTGAGGTCAACGCAGGGGAATCGGGCCTCATCTCCAGTTGATTTGGGGCACATGGAGCTGCTTTGCGTTGCAGGGGTGACCTCAGGGTAAGTCTACACTTGTGACAGTGTCTTGGGGACTGTCTCGAGATCCATTAAGCAAGTCGAAGCTCCTGAATTGATTGATGGGGATCACGGAATTGCTCTGCATGCACTGCAGGGGAATCGGGCCTCATCTCGCATCTAGGGGGAAGTCTCATGGTTTTTCTCGAGTTGCGGCGGGGATATGCGGTATGTTCTCGAGTTACGGCGGGGATGGCCTTTCAAAACACATGTTTATTCAGTGATGTCAGGACTGCTGTCTAGTAACGTGGGACACCTCAGGAATCTCTTTGAGGGTTTGCAGGGCACAAGGGACTCTTCTCGAAGTGAGGAAGTGCACCAAAGGACCTTTTCCAGTAGCCACAGGGATTTTGGGATTCCTATCAATATTCTAGAGAAGTCAGGCATCGTCACCTTTGGAAGCAGTGAACTCTGCGTGCCTCTCGAGGTGTCAACTTGATGTGAGGCATTCCGTCATAATGAGGCAGGGACCTAGGGCTTTCTCTAAGTTCTCCACAGGGGATTCAGACATACCTTCATGTTGGGAGATGAAAGACGAGCCTTATTCAAGCCACTTCAAGGAAACCCTGCCTCCTTTCAAGTTAGGGCTTCTCGCTGTATATCCCACTTGAGGCAGCAAACTCGGGGTCCCTACCACATACCTTTTGCTTAAAGAAGCCTCCCCTTGAGGTGCTTCTGGAAAGTTGGCATACGTCTTGAGGCTAAGCCAGGGAATCAGCTCTCATCTCGAGACGATTTGGGGTACATGGAGCATTCCACGAGTTGCTGTGCTGAAGATGGTGTTCCTCTAGACTTGGGACAGTGTTCTCGGGGCACCTCTGGAGGTGCCTGAAGGGAGTCAAGCCACTGGTCGTGTTGAATGGGGAACGGGGGTTAGCTCTGGAGTCAATGCACTGGAATCGGGCCTCACCTCGAGTTGATTTGTGGCACATGGAGCTACTTTGCGTTGCTGTGGTAACCTCAGGGTCCATCTAGACTTGTGACAGTGTTCTTGGGGACTCTCTGGAAATCCATTAAGGAATTCGAATATCCAGACTTGTTTGATGCGCATCACGGAATTGCTCTGCATGCACTGCAGGGGAATCGAGCCTCATCTCGCATCTATGGGGAAGTCTCATGGTTTTTCTCGAGTTGCGGCGGGGATATGCGGTATGTTCTCGAGTTAGGGCGGGGATGGCCCTTCAAATCACATGTTTATTCAGTGACATCAGGACTCCTGTCTAGTAACGTGGGACAACTCAGGAAGCTCTTCGAGGCTTGGCAGGGCAAAAGGGACGCTTCTCGAGGTGAGGAAGGGCTCCCAAGGACCCTTTCCAGTAGCCACAGGGATTTTTGGATTCCTATCAATATTCAAGAGGAGACAGGCATCATCACCTTTTGAAGC